TAACATTAATTTGTTTTTCTCCAACGTTCGATAAACTATGACTCATAATAATATGCACAATAGTATGAAGTGTTTTACAGAGTTCACAAATACATTTCCCAAAAGTATGGGAGAAGTGGAATATTTTTACAAAATTGATTTTGTTTTAAGTACCAAAACTATATTGACTATTAACCTTCCTGTACCCGCGCCAAATTTTTTAACACCTATACCCGCGCACGGTGTGACAGACCGTAACTTTGACTCCTATTACGTAGTTATTTTTCTATAAACCGTTTATTTTTTTTTTATTTTACAGGAACTATAGGATGTAATAAAACAAAAAATACCAATTGTTAGCTTATACTATTTAATACTGTAATGACTATCAGTCTTTCCATAACAGCCTTAAAAAAGTCTCATTTTTTCGTATAGTCATGAAAAACAAACATAAAACCTTTTTATTCTAAAAACAAACATAAAATAATTTTTAATTTTTTAAAATAAGATATTTTGAGATCAACGTAAAATAAAATTAGTTAAATTTTAGAGGGTTTATTTCTTTATTTGTCCACTGAACAATCCGAGTACAAACACTTTCCGAGAAAAATAGTACATACGTACGTAGTATAGACCGTATTAGGCCTAAACGTCCTGCTAGCACGACTGTGTCCCACGTACCAACCAAAAGCAAGCCCCAAATCGTGCAGCTAGCAGAAAGCGCGAACTCTCAAAGTTCTTGGAAAAAAAAATATTTACGAAAAACTGTTTCGTCGGTCTCACAGACATTTGCGCGGGTATAGGAAGGTTAAGATTATACCGACCTATTTGGAAGGCGGTTTCTAAAACGATAACGGTAACGGTAGTTTTCCACTGGTGTTGCGAATGTGGCGTCAGTGATCTCCCATGGACATCCATTGGTTGATTGTCTCTTGTCATATAATAAGTATTTATTCTTCTTTGTTACGAAACAAAAAAAATTACAATTTAATTTTGTGTTGTATTTGTAAAAATGGCCCATTCAATTTTAAATTGGTCGGGAGATTTTTTTTATCTGTTGGTAACCCTACTGACTTTAAAATATAGAATCAGCCGATCTTTCACAACAACATTCTGTTTGCAGATCGCGAAGAATTGAGTCGTCTTGTTATTGTGTAAATTTGGAAGTGCTGATTTGTCGGTAAGTTTGCAATATTTTTTAATTTATTTTTGAAAATATATCTTTTCTTATAGCAAATGTTTAAACTACTTATTAGAATTTTTATTTAATTACGATATTGTTAAAGTGCGCATAACGTTTTATCAAAATGGCTACAAGCTACAATATCTACTATTTTACTTTCAGGGGAAGAGAAAGAGGTGTAGATCCTGTTTATTTGCTTAATTACTAAATTTTATATGAGCAAGTTTGTTAATACGTCAGTTGTTTACAAATAATACGATTTTATAGAAATGGAGGATAAAGTGCAATTCAAAGCTTATACCTATGGGAAAGATCAATCCAAACCAGAAGTTCGTAGGTTTGGGATTGAAAAAAGTGTGGTGACAAGTTTCTGTTACCTAGATGCTAAGCTTCAAGATATCTACCCCTCCTTGAAGCATAAGCGTTTCACTGTAACTTGGAAAGGTGAGTCGCCTTGTTCAACCATTTTGTTTTACTATTTAGAAAATGCTGATGCAACATTATTGAAATTTTACGTTACAATTTTAATACATAGCTATTAAATTATGTATTTAGCTAATAAATATGGAGTTTCACTATGTTCAGTAGTTGTAGACTAGTAGAATTATTGAAAATTTCCTTGTAGAAAAGTACTTTTGGAACATTTGCAATCATTTGTATTTCCCTTCTAGATGAGGATGGGGATGATATTACTATTTCTTCTGATGATGAAATGATTACTGCATTGTCATCTATGACTGACAATGTCATGAAATTGAATGTTTACTGCCATGAGGAAGGGCCTCAGGAAATTGATTGTGATGTGGTGATAACTGCTACAACGGAGAATGCTACTGGTAAGGCACCACCAAGTTGACAACTCTGCTTAGTCACAACTTTAATGTAGTGGCAATTTTTTTTTTCTTAACAAAGAATATTATTTGTTAGGAAGTTTTATACTGTACAATTTATCTTCAAATTCTTATGATGATACATAAAATTTGCCTGATTTATATTAAAAATGTGAAACATCTTTTAGGAGACAAAAATGCAGCTCACTGTGGGGTTATCTGCGATGTTTGTGATATCCCAGTAGTAGGATTCCGTTACAAGTGCACAACATGCTCTGATTATGACCTCTGCTCCAAATGCGAGGCGGCTGGCCATCATTCTGAGCACATCATGGTCCGTCTCCCAATGCCGAACATGCCAGTAAGTTGATTTCTAAAAATATACCAATTTTTCTTGCTTGAAAAATATTTGTGGTTTAATATGAACAAGTTTAGTCAAATATAAGTTAGAAATGTGTGTAACATTTTCTAAAATCACCTATACCTAAAATAAAAGATGATTTTATAAGGTCACCCAAATTTTCAGCGAACAATGATTAAGGCAGCTATAAGACGTTCCCGTCACATTATGAAGTCTGTTGGCAGTGCTACGGCAGACCTTGAACATCTTTGCAAGAGGCCCAAACGTGATAGGAGTAGTGACAAGAAACGTCATCATGGTCGAGGTGAACATCATCATCGCCGTACTCAGTCAAGCTGGTTTGATATCTTTAGCACATACATGAATGAGTTTGCTGATCTCGCTGGCAATGTTGGTCTTGACACCAACAAAGATAAAGACAAAACTTCAAAGCCTGCTGAATCGGGACGCCAAGAGCAACCTCAAACCAGTGACAATGCTGCAACATCCACATCTAAACAATCAGATGCAACAGCTACTGAACCAGAGTGTCCCTTTGCTGCTAATATCAATCAAGAGAAAATTCAAAAGTTTCTGCAAATGTTATATGGTGTCACCAATGTCAACTCTGCAGCTCAACAGGCTCCTGAGCAGTCAAATGTGGATAATGAAGGAGATTCAGGAGCTTCTGGTCAGACATCTGAAGCTGGTAAAGAGGATGCAAAATCTGAAGTATCATCAACTAAGGATATTAATGAAGCTACTACTCGCAAAGATGAGTCACCTGAAAGGGGTACAGATGAATGGACTGTGATAAACAAGGAAAAAGGTAACAATGTCTTTAAATATACTTCCATTCTTCAAATAAAGTAGCATTCTTATGCATTACTATAAAGCTGTAATTAATTATTTTAGATCTGATGGATATGGATCCAAAGCCAAGTGCTCCATTTGAACAAAATGTGCCGATTGGTTTCAATTTGTCTCAAGAATTCCAACAACATGTTAAGATTGGCGAGGGGCAAAGCTTGTACCCTCCTTTGCACACTGCTTCTGCTGGTAAATATTCTACATTATTTGCAGTATAAATTATATTTCTTATAGCTATCGCCCGCGACTGCGTCCGCGCGAAGTAAAAAAAAACTTAATAAGTAGCCTATGTGTTCTTGTAGACTATGTTTTATATCTTGGCCAAATTTCAGCGAGATCCGTTAAGCCATTCTGGAGATACCTTCAAAAAAGCATGCATCCAAATCATTCGCATTTATAATATAAGTAAGATTTTCGAATTGTAAATATGTATGAAGAAAACTTTTTTTTAATATTTAGTATTGAATCCCCAAGAGCCAGAAGTGCTGACACCATCGCAAGGGGCGGCTAAGCCAAAGGAGCCTGAAACTGTTACAAAGAACATGCCATCTAGCAGCCAACCCAAAACTGTGCCCCAGCAGCCCCAACCTCAAGGTGTCAAACCGAAAATGCCTAATAACAACCAGCTTCCAACTGGACAAAAGCAACCCCAACCTCCACAGAGTTCTCATATTAGTGAGTATTATGTCACAAACAGCAACCATGTTTTAGGGTAATAACGAGTACCTGAGCTCGGCTTTGCACATCATACCTTAAATACTGGCATTTAAATCTTGAGCTGTTTCTGATGTCTAAGATATAATTGATGTTTAAGATATGTTTTTTTATAGAGCCACATATTGATGCTGCGATAAGGCAAATGCTGGCTATGGGCTTCAACAATGAAGGTGGCTGGCTCACTCAACTTCTGGAAAGCACAAATGGCAACATCGCCGCTGTTATTGAACTGCTTACACCAGTTATTCCAAAGTAGATTCATATAATACATTTATTCATGCCTTTTCGTTAATTTTGTGGTGAATTGTCTAATGTTATATTCATATTTAATCAACATATATCTTATAGAAATTTCAATGTTATTTTCAGAGCATAAATACATTTTTTTGTAAGTTGAGGTGGTGGAAATATATTTGGGGTTTAATTATTATTATAATTTTTGTGATATTCGAACAATTTAGTGGAACCGGAGTCTATGTTAGCAACTCTATTAAATCTAGCTAACATTAACATTTTTTGTAGCCCTAGGGCTAGTCTTTTATTATATTTATCATGTTTAATTTAGACGATGGAAAATTTATAAATTTGACATTAATGAATATTTAAAAGTAAATAATCAAATTTTCTATAAAATTATTTGATAGAATGTGGCTTTGATTTTGTCCATATATCATGAACATCTTGATCAAACTAATTGAACAAAAATTTAATTATTTACTTGACATTTTATTAATAAAAATATCAAAAACTTACTATTTCTTAATACTATGCATAACTGTATGGATTCTATATCAATAAATAAATTTAAAAGGTCAAATGGTGTTTTATTTCAAAAAACCGTACGAGTGTTTCTTTAAATCAGATATCTCATCTTTCTCACGTAGGAGGGCGTCCCCAAGAGCATTATCCAAACAATTCGCAGCAGTTCTGAAAAAAAATAGGACATGTCTATTAGGTAAATCATTAATGCAAATAAGATTATTGAAACAATGAAACTGATGATCTTTTAGGCGCCTATAATGCACGTTAATTCAAAATAATGAAAATATAAATGAGTAGTAGTAAATAGGCTCCCAAATTGTAAAATATAGTCCATTTAATACTTGCTTATGTTATAAATACATATTGTTAAAAAACAGGCCAAGAAAGTAAGAGTTGTACATATGAGACTGATATTACAATGGAAATAAATTGGCCAATTACATTGAATCTAAATCTGAAGAGTATACAAATAAATACATTAGTTATTTCAGCTAAAAAGTAATATCACTGCATAAGTTTGCTGGTTCCTAGCTAATAAGTACAACTGTATAAATTAAAATTAAAAATTCTTTATTGAGCTAAAAAACAATTTCACAAAAATTTTGTGGGCTCTGTCTCCTGAACTTGTAAATACTGTGTTGTTCAGGAGACAGCACCTTCTCTTATCTATTGCCTAAAGTTTATATAGATTCTTAACATATATGTAATTAAATATAGATTATTATTATTGAAATATAAATACTAGATATATAGTGTGCGATAGTGTGTGATTTTGCATGTGCGCTTGTGTGCTTAGTTATGTATTGTTTTGTTTATGGTTTTTACTACTTTTCTCCGAAGTATTATTTATATTGTTTATGTTATGTATTTATTCTGTCATGTTATTTTTAAACGATTTAGAATTAATAACATCTCACTTACATTCCTTGTTCAATGGCACTTTTAAGTGTTTTCGGTGACAGACTTCCAGGACCATTCATTGATATAGTGCTACATTTACATTTAATATCAGGAATTACATTATCGTCCGTTTGGTAAAAGTTTGGATTTCCTGTAACCCCAACTACAAGTGATATAACACTACAGCGTTCTTCTTCTGCGGAAGGATCAACAACACATTTAGTTCCTATTTTGCATAATGTGACCTGAAAAAAATAGTTTTTTTATTTCAATTTGCATTACAAATAGATAGAACTGATCAATTTCATTAATTCAATCTTTCAATTTCTACAAAATTATAAAATTTTGATGAAAATGTAATATAATGTTGCCATGTTCAATAAATGATGTTTATATCTTTATAAGATTAAGGTGATCATCAGGAATAGGATATACTCTAAACATTTTTTTTCATTTACACATCTGGTAGAGCATTTAATACAAAACAGAAAAATTTACCAAAAGAGGTGCAGTTCCAATATCTAATTGCTTGCTGTCATATGGGTCGTCTGACAATTGTAAATCAATGTTGCCACCATCCATTAATGCTGCTTTTACACATGGCAACCTGGTGTTAAATAATGCAGCTTTAACCGCAAGAGATACTGCATCACAAAGGTTGCCTCCGCATTCAAGTATCTGTAATAAAAAAGCAATCATTTCTTAAAACATTTCTGGTTAATTGACCAATCACATTTTCAATTTTTAATAAACAGCAAAGATCTTTTTTTTAGATCTTTATACTATAGGTGATAAAAATAGGAGTATGGTGGTAAAAATTATAAAATTTTGTGAAATTCTATACATCCATTTATGGATTCATATAATTCAACTTTAAAAAAATTATAAAATGTAGCCAAATACGTTACTCATTGGAATTCAAATTGTTATTCCAATCTATTTAAATATTCATTTATGACTTAATACTTACTAAAATATCAACATACAATTTCCAACACTGTTTTCCTTCAAATATACAGAGCTGTTTTAAGTTGAAAGCTTGTGGGCTATAGTAAGCCCGCTGCATTGTACTAGATATGGTGTTTGCCAACTGTTCTCCCCCTCTACCTTCAAATTCTGGTGTTGCATTAGCTGAACTAAAATAAGGAAAAAAATCTACTTTACTCTCCCAAACATAGTTAAATGGTGACTTTGGGAGTGTGTTAGTGTATATTCAGTATGATTAATATAATTTAGTGGCTGCTTAGGTTTTTTTAAATCAATTTCTATGGATAGGTGTTTGCTTTCGACTTAAAGCCACCTGTTGATTTTACTATGTTTATTTTATCTTTATTATTAGTTTGCTTCCTCAAAACTACTACCATGTAGCTTACCAATCCACAAAGAATTCTATTTTGCCAAGGCCAGGAGTCTCTGGTTTTGGTACATCAATTTCTGTCTTAACTCCAACTAGGATATCTGTGTTGGCAAGCCGCAGCCTGGCCGAGCCACTTGCATGGCTCACCACATCTGTTTCTAGTTCCATTGGTCTATAGTCAATACTCGATCTGCCATCAGAGCGGAAATCATTCTGAAAATATTTAAAGACAAAAACTTAACATAAATTCATAAAAGAGTTTTCTTAAATTTGAGTTCAAGTATCATGTTAGAAGTTAATATTATTATATTATACAGGAAATTAATTTTAAATTTATTTTAATTAACTAAATATTTCAAATATATTTGTTAGTATACAAAAATATAGTAATAATTTAAAAATCAAAAACTGAAACTTAATAACCTAAAATATTGATTTCGAACATAACATAACATAGAAAGATTATGTAATTTTATAACAGTTTAATACACATTTTAAAAAATGTTGAAGAAAACATAACATGTGATTGTGCAAAAACTTACTTCAACACCATGTACGATAAATACTTGCTCTGATTGACTTATTAAAGAGCCCGCCATTATTATATTACATATGTGGAATGTTAACAAATTTTATTCCATTTAGAGGAATTTAGAAATATTAACAATACAATTATTATTTTATGAGTTTGGAAATTTGAATAAACGAGCAAACTTTTAACTTTTATAAGGTATAGTCTTGACAGAACGCCTACAACCTTCAAGCTACAAGTAGGATTAGGATTACCAGTAAGAGAAAATTTCCTTACATATCACGAAATTCGTTCCTATTGCAACTGTAATCGATTAAATAAGTATTTGCAATTTATGATCTCATGGTCCATAGAAGTTGTTTTGTAATGAAATTTAAACAGCTTAATCATTACCAAAAAATCACAAGGTAAGCTTTGTATTTCTTAAATATACTTATCTTCAGCATTTATAATAATAACGAGTTGTAGCATGTTGGCGTCGTGGTTCATGGACTCATGGTAAATAAAAGTACGTGTTAGTTCACGTCACATTTACTTGTAAGTTCATGAATATAAAAATGGCAACACTAACTCGTGCAGCTGCCGCTTTCCCATTGATGAAAATATGACGCTGTCAAGATGACACTCAATAGATTTCTTATTGCCTTAAGATTAAGGTCCTTGTCTAACCATAAATTCACTATACTGAATAAAATTATTACTTGTTGACATGTTTGCTAATTTCGATTGACATAATCATCAGCATTTGCAGATGCGTTGCCTACCAACTACGAATTAGTTCCATTTTTGTTGCCTATCGTTATTCGAAGAAGGAGCAGACGCACACAAAAGATAATATTTCCCCTTCCTATGCTTCCTCTTCTCTATCAACCCCTTTCCTTTTCCAACCTTATAAGAAAAGGATGGGAAGGGAAAGAAGACTAAAATTAGGCCTCCGGAACGCACACCAATCAAACGAAACGCAGAATTGCTTCCACTTCACACCACTTCTGTATGATCGAGGTATTACACCGGACGAGCCGGCCAGTTCGTGCATCCCTCCCCCATGCATATGCACATATCTGCCAAGAAATACAAAGATATGTGTAGACTACACATATCACGTTTCTTTTTAAAAAGGTTAAAAATGATAGTCATCAAAGATGGGGTATTAAACAAATAAATTTTTGGGTATATGGAGATTAAAACATTTGTCCAAGGGACGAACAACTAAATTTTATAGTATTAGTCAGTTCCTGATTCACTCCTGCTGGATCTATTGAGGGGGATCTCGCAACTTCCTCTTTTAAATTGCGAGTTATCGTAATTGTTTCATTGTAACAGATTGCGCTTTACGTCTCGTCGGCCTAACGTGCTGTTCGAACAGGGGCACCCATTTGTGTTATGTGCATGAAATATATTTCGATAAAAACAGAATTATGGAGGAAATACCAGGTGGTGTAAATGAAATGGCTTACCAAATGCAAAAGTTCTCATGGGCTGACTACGTTGTGTTTGTGTTCATGTTGGCAATAAGTGCTGTTGTGGGTATTTATTGGGGTTTTGTAAAAGACCAGTCCTCACAAAATGATTACCTACTTGGGGGACGGAATATGAAAGTTATTCCTGTATCGATGTCCCTTGTGGCAAGGTGAGCCTTTACATAAAATATATCTTCTTTTCTTAATCATCTTTAGCTAAGTGTAATTATTACAATGCTCGCTATGATGCCACAAACTTGACTGGTAATAGCCCAACCTAATTCTTCTGAAAGATACTAGTGTAAATGATGGAGACTGATAATTTAGACTAACGCAGACTAATAACGATTGCCTATTGGTTTCACATGAAAGAGTAAGTTACACGTTTGCTCATTGGACACATATGTATATAAGGCATAAAGATTTTAAGTCACGTTAGTTAAATGTCTTGTTGTAAATTGGCTTTTAAAATGTGTTACAAAGTGTCATTGTTTTGTGGGATTTCAATTCTTTAACCAGCAATTGTTTTTACTAAAAATACTTATTGTCTTTTAATAAATCTTACTTCTTTTTATACTAATATTTTAAATGCGTTGTTTAGATGGATGGATGGATGTGTGTTTGAAAGTATCACCAGAACGGCTGAACGAATCTTAATGAAATTTGGCAAACATATGTAACATAGTGTGGAAGAACACATAGGCTACAAGTTATTTTTTTTTAATGGTCGCGTACCGAGTGGGGTTCGATCGCTAGTTATGATATAATGATCAATTAATTATAATTAATTAATATAACAATGAATAATCAACTGATAAAACTGTGACGCATGTAATAACTTTATTTGTTGTAATAAATAGATATTTATCACATACACGAAAAGATACGATATCCCTAATAACATCGATTTCGTTGTGGATATTAATCGAAAAAGAGTCGATGAATGTAAGATAATTCTAATTTTAATTTCTTTATCTATAAAACATTTCAAATTAGGTCTAAAAAATCAAACTAAGCTGTATATTCGTCATTATCTATATCATCTCACTATACGTCCACACTGAAGAGCCCGGAGCTTTCTCTAAGTTAAGGGTGACTAGGCCATACTCAACCACGCTGACACAGCGCGGGCTTGCCTTCACACATATCTTTGAATTTCTTCCCTGATATATGTAGGTTGCATCACGATATTTTCCTTCATCGTAAGAACGAAAAATATACGGATAAATCGAAAAACGCATCAGTACATGACGGGATTTGAACTCAGGACCTGCAGATTACAAGTCAAGCTGCATGACTACCAGAATTTTGGGACTTCTTCACTTGCTTACTTATTATCTTCTACTAAGTTGTTGCTCTAATATTTTTTTTAAATAAAAACGTTTTTCTTCTGTTTTCAGTTTTGTTTCAGGTATTACTCTCCTTGGTTCACCCACTGAAGTGTATATGCACGGAACACAATATGCCTTTATAATGGGTGGCATATTTCTAATGTCGATTGTCATGACTCAAGTCTATTTGCCTGTTTTTCATGAACTTAAAATCACATCTAATTACGAAGTATGATAATACAGATTTTTACTTTTAGTTCACATTAAGGCGTTTTTCTTTGATTTAACCTTTAATAATTATATTTTCAGTACTTATCGTTGAGATTCGATAATAGAGTTCGATTGTTTGGTTCAATACTTTTCGCATTTACATTGGTAAGAATATTTTTTCTTATTTTATTATAATATATTTTTTTAACTTTTCTAGATTTATGAAGTTCCTTTTATTTCAGGTTGGTTGGTTACCGATTGTTATTTATGTTCCTGCGTTGGCTTTCAACCAAGGTATATATTATATAAGTATATAAGTGTATTTCAATGTTCTGTAGATATTGTATTCGATAGATAGATCACCCGTGACTTAGGGTAGGCTCCGAGCCCCTCAGTGGGGATGTATAGTTAAAGTTAACCTAAAGCACTAGGTTGTTGTAGATCGATTCTTTTATTGATATAATTACCAGTGAAATCATATCAACATTTAAATTCTTTGTTTTCAGTAACGGGTGTCGACGTTCATGTAATAACTCCTATAGTTTGTTTGGTTTGCATATTTTACACGAGTGCTGTAAGTAAAATTATACAGAATATTCGGAAATTCCGTAGGTTAAAGCACACATGAAAACATGAATTTGACTTTGATATACAGGGTGGTCTGCAAGCAGTCGTATGGACAGATGTGATACAGATAACCGCAATGTTCGGAGCTATGGCCTTAGTGGCGATTAAAGGCACTATAGATGTAGGCGGCGTGGGCGTCGTGTGGCAGCGGAATTTAGACTCACAACGGATCGAGTATCCTAAGTAAAACATCACTCTCTCGTTGTTCATATAGTTTTTCTTACACTTACACTTGTTTCAACAAATTAAGTCGGGATGTAAGCTGGAAATGTTTACAACAAAATACAACAATGTTTGTGATTAAAATATCATAAGTTTTTACTTAACTTACAACTCTATATATTAGAAGTTTTAAATTATTGGTTAAAAATTAAGTATCATCATGAATTTTCTTTCCGCCATCATCTTTAGTATTTAAACATTTTCATTAGGCATAGAAATATATTCAAGGGAAATATTAATTAATTACAGCTGGGATCCCAATCCAACAGCACGACATACAATATGGAGTCTTGTCATCGGGGGCCTTGTTTATTGGCTGCAAGCAAATGCTGTAAATCAGACGATGGTTCAACGTTACTTAGCATTGCCCACGTTACGAGGTGCTAAATGGTGAGACTGATCAACTGTAAATTGTAAAAAATTATACAACTAAATAAATTTGAGGTAACCATCTCCTTCTGTTACGGGGATTACTATTGCCGAAAGAAACGAAAAAAAGGAATATATTTTGCAATTTTTTAGAAAAGAACTGAATAACAATTCAAATTCAATTGCAATACAATCGCAAAGGTATATTTTAATGGCATATTCTTAATTTCAGGTCAGTTTTTCTGTTTTGTATTGGAATATCAATTTTATACTGTTTTTGTCTTTATTGCGGACTGCTTATTTACGCTCGGTTCCACGATTGTGACCCTTTGCAGACTAAGGTAAATGTAACTTTTTTTCACTAACATTATGTATTATTTAACTGTAAATAATGCCTTATTGACTTTATTTAGAACGTGCCTAATCATTAAGGACTCTTGCTTTTTTAAAAATCTTTTACTTAAGTTAGTTAAGCAGGATTTAGTGTAGACTTCTCATACAAAATCGATAATTAGAGACTGCTTATGTAACTATTAAACGACTTATAAGTATACAGGGTCTCCTTGGTGTTTGTTTCATATAAAATCATCCTTCTTTTGTTTAGTTAGCGAAAGCGAAGGATCAACTCCTGCCTCTGTTAGTGATGGACGTGCTTGGCGACATCCCAGGTCTGCCCGGCGTGTTTGTAGCCGGTATATTTAGTGCCGCTCTAAGGTAATAAAAAGAAAACTTTACTTAGCAATATTACATCTCTTTTTGATTCATCAATAAAGTTTAAGCACATACATTGTGTTATTGTAGTAAAGTAAATTTTATTTATTATTTTTAATAGTCAGTACGTAAGGAAAAATTGACATTATTTTTATTAATCATCAGCTCACTACCTTCCCAACAAGGAGCGCGTAGCCTAGCCTACCTTAAGTCAGGGATCAATAGGCCATAGTCAACCACGCTGGCCCGATGAGGGTCGGTTGACTTTACACATATCTTGGAATTTCTTCTAAGATATGTTGCATCACGATCTTTTCGTTCGCTGTAAAAACAACGGATAAATGTACATATGTAAATCGAAAAACACGTTGGTTCATGGTGGGATTCGAACCCAGGACCTGCAGATTACAAGCCAAGTGCTTAACCCCTGAGCCACTGACGCTCCTACATTTATGCATTGAGAGCTTAGGTTAACAAATGTTTATGTTTTAGTTCGTTATCGACAAGTTTAAACTCGATGTCAGCAGTCGTGTTGGAGGATTTCTATAAGCCATTCTTTAAGAGACAATTGACTGAACGACAGACCAATTGGCTACTAAAAGGTGTTGTTATACTTTTAGGATGTGTGTGTCTCGGTAAGATTTTTTTCTATAATATTTGCTAAAAAATTAGATGTCTGGTATAAGTTTTTAGAAAAATGATTGACATATCTTATTTTAGCATTAGTTTTCATCGTTGAGAAAATGGGAACAATTCTACAACTTACAATGACTTTGGAAGCGATGACGATGGGTCCGCAACTCGGAGTTTTCACAATGGGTATTCTCATGCCTTGGGTAGATGCTACGGTACATATGTTTATTTGATCGGCAATAAAACGTATTTTAATTTACGCTTCGTTTTACACAATTTCTTTAAATATTTCAGGGAGCGTTAGTAGGTGGGATGTGTGGACTTATAACAATGTCATGGTGGTGTTTGTCTGCACAGCTGGCCATAGCTAGTGGACAAATTGTACACCCTCACAAACATCTTTCTATTGAGGGCTGTCAGTACAATTTTACTATAGCAGATACGACAGAGCTACCTATTATGTAAGTGAAGTATCTATAACATTTTATACGTTTGCGTTGAAGTAGATGGAGTCTAATTCCAAGAGACTAACTTTTAGAAAAACAAAACCAATATTGTAACTTTCTCTCCCTAGGATATACCCATATGATTTCCTTATCAGCTTTTTTCATCTCGGTCAGTCCTCGACACTTTTGTCGGATTCTTGGCAGTCACCTATGTGTTAAACAGCCTCTTTCTAACTAGTTTTGGGCCTTCAAAAGGAAGGAAAAGTAACTATGAATTTCTAAATCTTGATTTAGTCGTAGATAGTTCAAATTCGTAAGTACTGTGAGGTCAGAATGTGTTCCAGCGCTCAAGTTAGCCCAGTACTTCACGTGTCATACATGTGGTATACACTTGCTGGGGCTCTAATAGCGGTCTGCGTGGGCCTGGCGGTGACCCAGGTGAATAGGTGGAGGGGGAAGGTACATGTGTTGCCTTCACCTAACCTCCTCGCACCACAGCTTAGAGGACTGTACAAGGATCCCCCGCACCCTGGTGATGACTCATACATAAGGGCGTATGATAGTAAAAAGGTAAAGTTTACTTTAGGTTTACACTTTTACGCTCACTAAAAAGATTAGCTCATTTAAAATACATTGTTTATTTTCAGGTTGAACGTAATAAAAACTCTATGTCAATAAACATGAAACCAATAAACGAAATTGAAGAGATTGGTTGAAATTGAAGTTATTCGAAATAAGATAATGAATATTTTTAGTGTAATTAAATAAAAATATTTAATATTAAAAGTGTTTGTGTTGTAAAAAGTATACATACTTAATCAAAGTTGAACTAGATAAAAATGCATTGCATTAAACATTTGTGGAACAATTTTTTTTCTTTTGCGTTTACTAAAATATTTAAAAGGTTAAATTATAAAACTGCATGTCAATATAAAACATATCGTTATTTCTATCATTACACATATTACTCATATTGTTAGTGTAGTGTATGCATAAACGTAGTGTTGTTTGTCTCGAGCGTACACGCCATAAGTACATGCCGGAGAGAGGGGACGTGAGTCGATGTCAGACCTTTGAGCCGGCAACACGTGTCGGTACGTGAACGAGCCAAATATAGCACAACGAATGCTACATTGGCGACGAGGATAAAACCGTGAGTACGGAAATAAATTGTATTTGAAAAAAAAAGGAAAGAGAAGACCAGGGTGTAAAAAAAAAAAAAAACATTTCAGTAATTGATGGACGAAAGTATTGTTTAAATTATTTTGCCTTACCTTACAAAAAAAATAGTAGGTAATGGATTGCCAAAAATAGCAACAGTCTTCTCTGTTTATATATGATTTGTAAAACGTGGCCTTAAGTAGTTCCCAGCCGTGAATATTTTAAAAACGGTTCGGAATGTAAACTTAACCAATTGAATATCGAGATAAGATCACAATATTTTACTATCAGAGAAACAGATTCATTGCTGTGCTCGTCCGTCTAAGTTGTTAACTACAAAGTGCACTACGATGTCACATCGAAGTACATGTGCAAGCGACAAATTAATTCCGGTCTATTGATGAAGCAGGAAATGAATAATGATTAAGAAAAGAAAATATCGAACAGTTACAATGATAAAATAAACATTACTACGAGGGTAGTATATCCTCGACATATACATATACTGTCATGATTTCGACCAAAATCAATAATCAAATGCATTTTTAAGACTGTCTTCGACCGATGGTTGACAAGTAGTGTGTAGATGGATAATAGCATTCGGCGATGTTAATCTCGGTCAACCTTATGTGTATATACAACTTCAATAACATAGGTACAGTCACCTCCAATAAAGTGTCAGCGATGGAGAAATTGCAAAGAATGCTAAGAAAAAAAGAACTCGGCTTGTACGATCGCATGTATTCTCCATATTCCTTTATGCCTCCAAAACGTGGACCCTACGAGAGAGTGAGAAAAAGAAGATAGACGCGCTCGAGATGTGGTGCTGGAGAAGAATGCTGAAGATACCTTGGACCACCAATGTACTAAAGAGGCAGCGACTAGGTGGCGTCTAGTAAAGCAGATCACTGATACATGATGACCATGACCAATCTGACAAAACTGTAACGACGAAGAAGAAGAACTTTCGCACTTGTCTACAGAGTATAGCTGACCATTAAATTGGTTAGATCATTGGTGTCTTGGAGATATAAAAGAACCACGGCTGACCATTAAATTGGTTAGATCATTGAATTGTTACAGGTATAAAAGCACCACGGCTGACCATTAAATTGGTTGGATGATTCATGTCTTACAAGTATGAAAACTGCATAGCTGACCATTAAATTGGTTAGATCATTGAAGTCTTGCAGATAAAATAGAACCACGGCTGACCATTAAATTGGTTAGATCATTGAAGTATTACAGGTATAAAAGCACTACAGCTGACCATTAAATTGGTTAGATGATTCATGTCTTGCAAACATGAAAGCTGCATAGCGGACCATTAAATTGGTTAGATCAGTCATGTCTTACAGACATGAAAGCAGCACGGCTGACCATTAAATTGGTTAGATCATCTCATCGTTAAATCGATAAGTTCATTTACAGCCTGAAAAGTTGTCAATTACATAAATTAAGAAGATTGAAACCCTGATCGATAAATTGATATTACGAGTGGTAAGAAGTTTGAAGCTAAAATTTGTGTGAGGCAAACTGTTAACTAAATTAAGGTGAGAGGTATCTAAATTAAGGTGAGAGGAAATACATTATCTGCAATAAAATCAAAATAATGACTATTAATCAACTATGTGCCTACAGTACATGTTTTATAATTAGAAAAACCATCAACAAAACAAATCATCAATAACATGTCGTTTGTAAAGTTACAGATTAATAAACGCAGCACTCGGCGAGCAAGTCTAATTGTTGTGCCGAAAGTGAGTGGAAAGAGATATATGTATAACATACGAAGGAGTACAGCTTCATAAGTTGTTACTGTCATCTTTATAAATGTAAGTTCAGTTAATCAATTTAAATCTAAGCTACCTGAATACATTTTAGATTTTTGTAAAAAAGTAAAGTAAATTTAAGTCAAATTAATGGCGACTATATTATGTACATTGTACGATATTGTTTTCAAGTGACTATTCCTTTGTCTTTTTGAGAAGTAATTCTTTTAACCCTGTTATAAGCACCTTACTACAAAATACGTAGTACAAAATGATATAAAATGTGATTGACTATTAGTCACGTTTTGTTATGAATATTTACAATATGTATAACGCAATTTCTAATATTATATTGCCAGTTACTAAAGTCATCATAGTTGGCTTTATTAACGAATCCGTGGCTAATGCTGGATTGGTGAAGTTTCCAGAGATACTATTAACTACGAGTATATGTAAGTTCAAATCTCGTGATGTACTGTGCACTAAACAAATTTCGATTCAATAATTGTGAAACATATAAGTAGTTTCCGCTTCCGGCGATAGATGACTCTGTATTTAAAATACATCTGAAATTGATTTTATTGCTCTAATTTGGTAAAAATAAGAACGGAAACGTGTTTTTCTTTGATAATGACATGCTACATTTGCCGTAAAATAGAATAAATAAAGGTTAATGTTTTCTTTCTGAAATAGCTTTATTTATAGCATAATTATTGGACCAAGTCATGGAGGAATTCATTGTAAAAGTCGCTGTTTAGGCAACTCCTCGCTGAGGACACACTAGTCGCAGTCGGGGTATGTTGAAGCTGGATTTTGTTATCAATAACCCACAAAAAATTGGTGAGTCAACTTGAATTAAGTTTTAACGGCTTTAAACTCAATTTAGGGAGTAGAAATACCGATTTATGAAATATTGAACCAAAATCGCACTATCGACTTATTTAAACGACTTTAGCACACCGCCTAAAAGTGTGTTTAAAATCAAAGAGATCTTGTTGACATAATATATAATTTTACTTTTAAATGGCATTCCATTTGGATTATTATAAGCTGAATAAAAAACGATTGCGGAATAAAATGCTATCCCTTAGTTCTACAAGTAACTTAATTATTTTCATACAGAAATAGCTACCTGTTTGATTGTAAATAACATTAGAAAATAAACGGCAATGACAAGTTCATTTGCTAACCTGTGAAAAGAAGGGACAAAGAGTTTGTCTCTTTATGTTTATTTATGTTACGCTTATATTGAAAAAGACTTTTACTATGTTCAGAGTAGTCATTAGCAATTCATTGTTACATATAGATATAGTTGAACATCTGATAAATTGAAAACTTATAGTGGCATTTAAATATTGTCCATCAAGTTAAATATAAAGTTCAACATAATTAAATACCGTTAGTGACTCTGTGTTGTGGGTTGAAAGATCTCAAATAAGCTGGGAAATAAATTTGGTAATTAAATATAAAAAAGGTATAAGTCTTGACTTTTGAAACCTTCATTCAATAGAAAATGTAACATCTATGAAGGAGAAGAAACATTAAATTGTTAACATAGTAAGTTAGTCATTTTCAGGTTATGTATTAGAAAATAAAATTATCATTGACTATTCCATAATATAGGGATAGAACATTCTTATTGATGCGAGGGTGCCTTCATCTGTCTGTCTATCTGAGCTTAGGTTTGGTACATTGATGGACGGGAGCCTGGGACCATTGTCATGGACTGATTTTGATGTATTGGAATATGTGAAGTTTGTGCGAGTTTTTGTGGGTTTAATATGTTTCAGTATAAAACTTAATAATATTAAGTGATTAGCCTAAGTGATTGAAATGCTATCCAAGTTAGTATTTCGTACGAGCGAAGTCGCGGGCACAGTTACATCTGGAAATTAAAAACTAAACAAGTTAAATGGTCACACAATCAGTTACATCTTTTGGTGTTCCAACCAACTAGTACTGTGTCTACAGTGCATAACATTCATAGTAGAGAGTAAAATTTATTGTTACTACTAGCATAAATTATCACGCCTAGGATACATTCAAACTGTTAAGTACTTTTAAGTACTGTTAATTATTAAACATATCTTTTTAGCAAAATATTTGGCTTCGACATTAATAATTTACACAAAGATAACAAAGTAAACGTCAATTAAAATCCTGCTTCCCATACCGTAGAGACAGGTGGTATTGATGGCGATATTGAAGTTTGGAATATTTTAACGTGACAAATGTCAAGACGAAAATAAGTTTATTTAAAAAGAATTGAGGGACACTGGCGCGTTCTAAATAACAAATGGAAGGAAGTAGAGCATATAGAAGGAAGAAATAATGGAAACATGGAAGATAAGTATAGGATGGTAACAAATATCTATGCAGTTGTTGTGAAAATAATTATTAAGTGAATTTATATTTATTGTTATTGAATCTAAGTTTATTAAACTTACAAAATGGATATACATGTAGAAGTGTAGAGAAACTTAGAAAATCGAATTTTATGTATACTTGTATTCTATTAATTGATAGTTTTAGAATACAAGTACCTATACTTAGCAAGATTAAATATATTAAAAAAAGGAAGGGATGTAGTGTATGCATAAACGTAGTGTTGTTTGTCTCGAGCGTACACGCCATAAGTACATGCCGGAGAGAGGGGACGTGAGTCGATGTCAGACCTTTGAGCCGGCAACACGTGTCGGTACGTGAACGAGCCAAATATAGCACAACGAATGCTACAGTTAGGTCTGTGTAAAACTAGACAGAAGAACCAGATAAAATTGGTTAAAGGTCTATTTAAAGTTCCGAAAGGAAATCATCAATAAAACGCGAGTCAGAAATAGCCCCAGTCTGTATTTGCGTAGGAAAATAACGTGGGGCAATTGAAAAATTGCCCTTGCAAGTGTTGCTCTGCTCTTATTGAAGTCTTGAGGGTCAGGAGTAACGTTTGTAACACCTTATATTTAACTTTTATATTGTAAATTATTTAGACAATTTTTATTGTATTGTATTGTAAAATTTATTCAAAATGGAGAAATTTAATGTGTCAACCGTTCGATTATCATATCAACAAAAGTTTTCGTGGTTAGATTACTCCGTGTTTGTAGCAATGTTGTCGATATGTGTTGGGATTGGCATTTATTTTGGATTTTTCAAGAAACAGAATTCAACTCAAGATTATTTGATGGGCGGTAGGAATATGAAATTGATACCAATTTGCTTCTCTTTAGTGGCTACGTAAGTATTAACTTGAGTTACCGGAATTCTTATAATTTATACCTTTTAAAAAAAACTATAATACTTTTCCATTGAACAATAAATACATAATCCAATATTTAGGCAACACTTTATCTTATGTTATTTTTTTGTATATATCTATATTAAGTTTCTCTTTAGTTTCATTTCAGGTATATCACTCTTGGGCACACCCACCGAACTCTATATTTATGGAACTTCGTACATATTTTCTTTTATCGGGGCTATAATGATGTCGATCATAATATCTCAAACGTTTATACCAGTATTCCACGAGCTACAATTGACTTCTGCCTATGAGGTTCGTACTTTCTTAAGTTTTATATTTTTTTACTGTGCTGTGTTTAATAACATTTCTTCCGAAGTAGTAAATGAAAAAATCATTTACAACGTTTATAAATAATATAAAGCTGAGTACTGACGGACGTTACAAGGTGTAATGTTACGAAGTGTAACATTCACATCAAGTCGTTCGTTTCTCGCTTGTTTCCCTGTAACACGTACTGATTGCATGAATGTTACGTTACACCTCGTAACGTCAGTCAGTGCGTTTCGAAGTTTGTTAAAATATTAATTGTTGCCTGCAGTATTTAGAGCTCCGGTACGACAAACGAACGAGGTTATTTGGATCTGTTTTATTCAGCGTTTACTTGGTAATTATTTATTGCATTTAGAGCTTATGACTTTACCTTTTAGTGAAGTTATGAAATTCATAAATTACATAGTATATATGTTTTGCAGATGGCCTGGCTACCTATTGTTATATACGTCCCAGCATTAGCCTTCAATCAAGGTATTTTTCTATTTTTAAGGGCGAATAACCAAAGTTTTCACATAAATTGTCTTAAATTATTCAAACTTTCGTTAGTCATTATAATAAACTTATATAAAAACGGCTAAACTGGCGGCACTAGTTTCGAACCGAGCGTCGCTCAGTGAGCGTCGGGCCGCGTCCGCGAAAAAAATAGCAGTCCCACTCACCGTGATGAAACCCCCGATGGGCCCGAAGATAGGGCCCCCGATGGGCTCGAAACTAATCGGTGCCGCCACGGGACAAATATACGTGACTGTTTAGCCGTTTTTATATAAGTTTATATTATTAGTATTAATGTTACACAAATTTGAATGATCTTTGTTTTAGTTACTGGAGTAAATATACACATAGTTACACCGATCGTTTGTGTTGTGTGCATATTTTATACATCATTGGTAAGTTGTGATATTAAAGAATGGACATATAACTAAATAAGTGTATGTTTGTATTAAAGAGTTGTATTTGCAGGGAGGTTTACGAGCTGTAGTATGGACGGATGTCATTCAAACTGTAGTAATGATCGGAGCAATGGTGTTAATTATAATAAAAGGAACTATCATAGTTGGTGGTTTGGAAGAAGTTATAATGAAGAATTGGAACAGTGATAGGATAGAATTTCCAGTGTAATTTTTTTTGTTGTTTTTCCTCAATATGTAGTGAATAATGTTGTAAAGGTTTTGAATTCAAGTCTGATAAAATTATAATTGCATTATAATGTTATGATGCCTTTACTTAAATTGCAGGAAGTTTTTTCATTATTTTATTTAAATTTTAGTTTAAGTTGGGATCTAACTGAGAGACATTCAATATTGTCTGTGTCAATCGGCTCAACATTCTATTGGGTCGGTCTTATTGCTGTGAATCAGTCAATGACGCAAAGATTTTTGGCATTAAAAGAATTAAAATCATCCAAAAGGTGACGCATTGATTTTTTTTTTGCTTTTATTTTTACTTAAGAATATTTTAAGGTTATTTTTAACTTAATCGTTAAGTCTAATTTGTGTGTTTGTTCCAGGGCCGTTTGGGGATTTTTAGGTGGCGTGCTATTAGTTGTATTTATATGTGGATATAGTGGTTTATTAGCATTTGCTAGATACCACGATTGTGATCCAGTAAACTCAAAGTTGGTGCTTGCAAAAGATCAGTTACTCCCCTTGTTGGTAATGGACATACTGGGTGACTGGAATGGCTTGCCGGGTTTGTTCGTAGCTGGTGTATTTAGTGCTGCACTTAGGTAATTAAAATTAAAAAAAAGTCTACATTTTGTTAATTACCTTATTCATATAGTATTGAATTTCTTTACTAATCAAGAGCCATTTATTCATCTTTCTTTTTTCATTTAAGTTTGCAAGTTTTTTTATTTTGTATAATTTTAATTTGGATGTTCATTTTAAGTTCTCTTTCAACCGGTCTTAACTCAATGTCTGCGGTAGTTTTGGAAGATTTTTGGAAGCCTTTCTTTAGACCATTGAGTGATAAGGAAACTCAGGTACTAGTAAGGACTGTTGTCGTTGTACTGGGCGTCATATGCGTGGGTAAGTCCCATTTTTATGTAGCTATAACTCTTTGCAAAAATCTTGGCGGCCCAAGGTGATCTCCAGTTTCACAGAGCTCTGCCCCGCATCCTGTTACACCTAACATTTTTGTTCTGCGCAGCGACTCCCGCGAATTTAAGAGCCGCCAAGATATCTGAAAACTTTTATATAACGCCTAGCTTCTTTGTTTTCTTGTCCTGGGATGTTGATTTATAATTTCTTTTAGGTTTAGTGTTTGTGGTAGAAAAACTTGGATCAGTTTTGCAATTGACGATGAGTTTGTCATCTGCATCTATGGGACCGCTTGCAGGAATATTTTCTATGGGAATATTTTTACCCTTCATTGATTCTACAGTAAGTTTTTATTACGAACAATACTGATCTTATTATCTCAAATATTTCTCTTTCATATCTAGTTCCGTTAACAAGTTTTACTTTATTAAGAAATGGTAAAGATAATCGTTTCAATTATTACTTTATTTGATTTCAACGAATTGAACTAATGTTTTATATTCCATCAGAGTGCATTAAGTGGTGGTGCAGTGGGTTTGATGTCAGCGTGGTGGGTCGCCGCTCACTCGCAGGTGGCGCAAGCGAAAGGATTCCTTAGATTTGAAGAGAAACAAAGGTTTTTACATAACTGCACCTATAGTTTTGGAAGTACAATTTCACCGGATGTACAAGAGGTGTAAGTAATTTTATTGTTTACTAGCTGTAGCTCGCGACTCCATCCGTGCGGAATGGAAAAAAGACTTAGTAGGCTATGTGTTCTTCCAAACTATGTTTTACATCTATGCCTAATTTCAGCGATATCAATGCAGCCGTTCACGAGATATCTTCAAACAAACATCCATCCATCCAAAGATTCGCATTTATAATTAGAATTTAGTAAGATATTACTTGTATATTTTATTCCAGGGAGGTGTCTTATCTGTATCGCATCTCATACTTATGGTTCACAGCATTTGGTTGTACAGTGACTGTGATTGTTGCGAGTCTATTAAGCTTCAGAAAATATCCAAGAATTCAAAGCGATCATCAATTATTTGCTCCATTTGTAAGATCATTGATTAAAAGGAAATCGGTAATAAAAATTATAATTACATTTATAATTAAATATTTTTATATATGTATAATAAACTTATATTCATTTCTAATTTTAGGTTAAGATGACCACAAGATAAATGTTAGCGTCAAAAGATATAGATCAAAATCGATTCGATTTCAAGTGAATATTCCAGAAGTAAAATTTGTACATACATAAGCAAATCAGCGGACAAATTAATTTCCTAAACTTGATTTTGTTAAATCGCTGTAGCCCATTTTTTGTCTTTCTGACATAGTGTGCCACCTGGATTTAAAATAATTAATTGTAATTTTTTTATATAAATAAAGAATTTTTGTGAATAAAACAACAATTCACTCTTATTATCGATTCTTAAGTCAGTCCAAAAAAATTGATTTTTGGATAAAACGTTAATCGGGGATAAATGTTAGCGGCTGTCGCCGAGTTAACTCCTTCCCTAGGGAGCCATGGCCTTTCCCAAATATCGTCAACCTCCTCATATATCGTAAACCATCTACAGTAAAAATATTCGAAGGCGTTTTATTAAATTAAAACCATTTTTGTATTTTTTTAATGTGCATTTATTTGTATATTCCGTTTAAAACGGCCAAGAATTCCTGGTGCGAAGACCGTATATTCCGGAGCTGGAAATGAAAATAAAGAAGTAAATAGAATCTACTGGTATAGGTTACAAGAACAGTGATTTCTCTCTTCGAATCGCCCGCATGGAACTACCACCAGTTTTGAGAGGCAATAATCTAAGCTTTACACCTTAGTTGAAGTCGTCCAAGTTTAGTTCAGAAACAAATGCTAATTTCACAATTTCTGTATCGCGGACAAGGCATCATCTGGTCAGATCTCGATCAGAGATCGAATTACATGTAGTTTGTTGGATACTATTTACTGTGCATTTTTAATTTGGGTGTCGATTGAATTATGTCAATTCAAACATGATAAACATTTTATACACAGACAGCTTACCCTCGTTTGTTGATAATAGCGTTGCCCATGTTGAGAGTGTTACCGTTGCAATTAGACAGTTCAGCCTCGTGAATGTTCCTGCACTGTCTGCCGACAAAATGATTGGTGCGAACACTGGAAGCGAAGAGGTCGGTGGCTCGCCCGTGTGAGCAGAGACTGGTGCCACATCCTGGCTGTGGGTTCCTGCCGCCGTTGGGGTAGAAGTTTGCGTCGCCGATAGCGTCCATAATACCGAGTAGGCGGCCGTCTGTGTGGATGCACTCTACATATCGTCCAGAGTTACGGTTGAGGGCGTTTGAGTTTCCTCCCCACTGCGGGCCGGCGGGGTCCAGTCCTAAAGACAAGAATAAGGAATGAATGCCCTACATAAGTGATAGCTTCCATTTTAATGTAATTATTTATTATTATTCGGTACGTATCGTTATTGGTGAATCAATTTTTATCAAATTCTCAGTTATTCTTATAATTGTCACTATTAATAATGTAATTAATACGAAAATTTAAGGATTTTTGTTACACCAATATAAGAAATGTATTTTTAAATGTAGGAGACGCAAAAGAGTTGTGAGTTCTGTGCTTGCGGTTACGGGCGTAAGTTGTTGCAATGTCAAAAAAAAACAATATGTACTGACCAGTAATACGAGCGGGGCGACCACCAGCGGTGCGGCCGGCGTTACCGACGACGTGAGCGCCCAAGCTGAAGCCAACCAAATGGACATTATTCCAGTTCCCACCGGCCGAGTTGATAAGCCACACTAAGAAGTTGCCCAAGTGTTGCCCCACACTTGGAACACCACGGACCGCGGTATTGTAATTGCTGTTAGCGACTCTGTTCCAATCTACGACAATGACGTTGGCGTCTTGTACCGCGAGAAACGCAGCTGTTATGGTAGGGTTCATGGCGGTGTTCCCATTGTTGTTCCATCCGTGAACGATAACTTTAAGCGGCCTGCCAGATCTGTAGTTTGAGTTACGCACAGAGTTTATGTTTCCGTGCACTAACACTTGGCGGTTGGTAGGGTTGGATCTGGAATAGGTATCTAGGTATTAATAAACCTAAAGAATAAACAATTTACATATTTTTGCTAATAACATTAACGAAAAAATGTTCCTGTTATGCTATTTTGAGTGTTATTCGATAGGATTCCGTTCTTCATCTGCTCCATATTATCATAGTAATTTTCGAATTTATGAACTTGCCTGGTGAAAAGCCAGTACTGGTTGTTAGCGCCATTTCTGGTGTTTAAGAATTCTTCATCGACGGGCTCGTGGAGATCCACCAAAATCGGGTTGCCATCGCCGTCCGGCATCCAGATGTAGCGACTTTGACCCTCAACATAGTGACTGTTGTCTCCAGGGACTAACGGCACACCGTTACCCGCGGCCACTAAAATCATTAGATCTATGTAGAAGCGATAACTTTTTACCGCTTTTTAGGGAAATTGCATAAACAGATGAACGTGCATTTTGACGCAGTAAATGCGAAGAAGAAGTGTATAAAGCTATTTTTAAGTCGAATATCGAAAATGAGCCACTACTAATAAAAAAATGAAAATTGTAGGCAAATTACAATTTCATTAATAACGGTTAAGGAAATTTAAAAAAAAATCATGAACACTTACATGCTAGAATAGAAAGGAAAGGAATTAATAGTATCATGGTTAGAGGCGCTTTGATTTTGGTATCGATGAACAGGTGGGGTATTTATTGAACTTTTATCTGCTGATATTCATGTAATAGCGTGAATCTTATCCGACTAAAAAGATTACATCAATCAAATTAATTAGACTGGCAATGTACAATGTTTGTTTAGTAAATTTGCGAAAACCATACATAATTTTTCGTATTAGTTAAATTCTAAGACAATGTTAAATAGGTGATAAATCTTATAAATGCAATATAGTAGTCAAATGCAAGAATAAATATTAATTTCAACTAAATATTACTTCAAACAAAATATTGTAAGCCGTGGAATTTAACCGCGGGCCATTTATATTAATATTGCCTCCATGTTTTGTGAAACAATGAAAAGTATGATCTGAAAAGTAGAACATGTACCCAACATGTTCTACCAGAGTAAAGGCAGCAGAATTCTACGGTACGATACGGTTTGCTAGCCAGTTCAAATTTGTAATTTACTCGTAATGTAAAATTGACATACGAGTACATAGGGTTTTTTTTAAAGCAAACTTTCAAGGCCAAGATGGGCGTGAAGTTGAAGCAATTCACCGTTTCGTCTAATGAATGTGCGTGCTGGAGTCCTAATTCTAATCCCTTACCCTTCCTATTCTGTTCTTATAAGGTAAGTTGTTGTTATAAGGTTCCCATGAAGGGGTAGTGATTTTGACAGCAAAGAGGCGGCATAAGGAGGGAAAGTGTCCTCTTTCTGTGCGTCCCCACCTCTGTCTGTAACAGGTAGGCAATGCACATGCAAGTGGTTTTTTAGCGAATTCAGGACCACCTGACCACACCTGCTCGTTTGCTACCTTATCATATTTTAAAAAAGATACTATAAATTTAATCCGATTAATTGAAGGCAAGATAAGAATAAGGTTACTCATTTATTTTGGGGGTAATTTTTTTACAATGATAATTATTTCGATTAAAATTATAACAGATATGATAAACTGTAATAATGTTAAACATTGGAAAATTTAATCAATCAAGTATTAGCCCGAATTCGCACGGGCGCATTCTTTTTAGATTTAGGTTAAACTCGGTGATGGTTCTCAAGCGATTAACGCTTTAAAATCACTTTTGTTTCCTTTGCACAGTGTTCAAGATGCAACACTATGCGATAAAAAAGTTTTTCGTTTTAAAAGCGTTGCCGTATGAATAGATGAGGAAATGCATTGGTCTATTTAAACGCATTTTAACGCGACTTAGTCAATGACAGTTATCTGTCTGTTGGTCTGAGGCTCCGCTATCGCGATAGTCCTGTCACAAAATATCTTAAACCTTCATTGTTATAGAAAATGGCCTAAAAATAATATAATACATGGCAGATATAGTACGAAAAGTTTGTGACAATTTCCTGACGTTGACAGTGGGGCGCTAGTGAGCAGTCATAATTTATAATAGTTTTACTAATGCCCACCGGGTCAAATACCCTTGTTCGTCTATATGTATTTATTAGACATTTTGCTATTATAACTTTATCTATGCTATTCCCACTTACACTGTGAATTAAGGATTTTCACAGTCTGCCCATATTGTTGCACTTCGTTTTTATACGTATGTATACAAACTAATAGACTGAAAGAGATTCCGAAGGCCGTAAATATTTGAATTAACACGTTAACTGTCATGTCGGACTATATGTCCGACAACGTAATGTTTCAATCTGGCCGTGACGGACTATGTGTCCGACAAGCCATACTTCCATTCAACACCTTGCTGTGGCTTGTCGGCCGCTTTTTAATCGAATTGTTGTATACAGCGTGACCCGCAAGGCCCCATAAAGCTTATAAACAGCGGGTCAATTTTTTTCGTTTTTCGAAAAATCGTTCTGGCGGCTAACGTGTTAAATTATATGAAAGAATATTTTTAAGTGTTTTATCTCAACCAGAATTACGTAGTACAAAAGTCTCGGAATATGAGTATACCAAAAATGTGAAACAATTTAAAAACACATAGCGAACAAACATACGAAAACTGATTTTTATTTATATCATAAATTAATTTTGTACTATGTAATCTAAAAACTATTTTAATGTAAAACGCCTGTTCAAAAACGATTTAAGTCGATTTAAAAACGTTTGCGCAGAGAAGTATATAAGGGCCATAGCAACAATTCTATATCCTTTAACATTAAGTCGATTATATGAAATAAATAACAAAAACCACTGTATAAGTCTAGTTCAGATGATTTTATTTACAATACGATAAATAATGGATTAATTAGTACGTTTTAAGATAAAAATCGTGTAATAAGTTGCGGTTTTCAGAAAGGCCATTTTTGTTCTGTGCTCAAGCCGTATATTCCAGATCTGAAAAAAAAATAACAAATTAATTTATTTTAATAATTTTACTTTATGTGTTATACTTAACGATATTTTTGTTTTTCACAAGTGACAATAAAGAGAGATTCAAATTGAATTACATTAGGTTTTTGTATAAGTTTTTTTGGCAGTGGAAATTCACGGTAAAGAATACAGCAAATAATGTTTACCCTTGTTTAGTGATATCACAGTTGCCCATATTGAATACACTACCGGTGCATTGGTTATTATGCGCTTCATTGATATCTTTGCATCGTTTCGCTGAGAAATGGTCTGTGTATATACTGGAGGCGAAGAGTCTGTAGGAGCGACTGTGAGAACAAGTGCTGATCCAACATCCCGGCTGCGGATGCTTGCCACTATTGGGGAAGAAATCACCGTGAGCTAGAGCTTCAGACATGCCCAGGAAACCACCGTCCGTGTGAATAGCTTCAACATAATGTGCAGAACTGGTGTTCAATGCATGAGGATTTCCTACCCATAGTGGACCTGCGGGGTCTAGAGCTGGAAATTAAGATTTGGATTACTACTAAAAGTCAAAATTTTGAAGACATAGATTGACTGAAGAGAGATGTGAGAAGAATTTTATATACTGCTTTTGTCTACAGCATTGGCATATGATTTTTCTGTATTTATTAAATTTAGAACAAAGTATTCTATTGATTATTCGAAAATTATTGTCCGGTGCAGGCATAAAATGGTTACGCACACGCAGTAGCACAGCGTTTTGTCGATACAAAATCATGCCTGAACATTTACCTGTTACTCTTGCTAGTTTTCCGCCGGTCGTGCGACCAGCTATACCAACAGCGTGGGCACCCAAGCTGAAGCCGATCAGGTGTACTTGGTTCCATTCTCCACCTGTACTCTCAATCAACCATGTCAAGAAATGACCAAGATTCTCGCCCACATCTAGGATACCATTTGACGCTGATACGTAATTAGAGCTAGCTAAACGCTTCCAGTCCACTACGATAACATTTGCGTCTAGTGTTTCGAGGATAGCAGTTTTCACCATCCTATTCACGTTTGCATTACCATCGTTATTCCAACCATGTACTATAACTTTTAAAGGCTTGCTTCCATTGTAACTCGAATTGGAAATGGACTCATTATCATCATAAGAGATTATTTGTGCAGTGTCAGGGTTGGATCTGAAATAAATGAAATACTTTAATTCTGGCCATTGTTATTTTAAAATTCGTAGTACGGAAATGAGATTAAGAGAAGGTTAAGACTTTCTACGTCTCTATTGTTAAACATTAAAAAAAGTAATAAAGTTTTATTAATTAACTTAAGATGATGTACGTGACCTATATAGTGCACGATTCCTTCAAAATAGGTCATACTACTTTTTATTTAGATTCTCTTACCATTTCAATTAAGACCTACGAGACGAGAATAAGATACATTAATTCTCTAGGATTTTAAAATAAAATATATTTTCCATCTAACATCTCAGAATTAAAAGTTATATAGACCTGGTATAAAGCCAGTATTGATTGGGATTGTTGTCTCTAGCCGTTAATAATTCTAAATCGGGTTCCTCTTGTAAGTCTACGAGGTGGGGTACGTCTTCACTGTCAGGCATCCAAATGTAGCGGCTGACACCTTCGATGTAATGGCTGTTGTCACCCGGAATCACCGGGATGGTATTACCAAAGCACACTGTATGGATGAAGTTATAAATATTTTTATTAATAATGTAGTCGTTTTCACTTATAAGCCAAACATTGTTTCTAAATTGAAACATAGAACAGTAAAAAACGGTTGAAGAACTGAAATACTAATTGTGAATTTGATAATCATAGCCTCACAGCAATTTCATTTGACTATCGTTCGCCCTCGACTTCGCGTGCGCAGAATTAAGACAAACGCGTCCTTGTGGACAGACATACAGATACACAAACATTTTAAAAATTGTTTTTTTGTTATCAGCGACGCAAATATTTATGTATGAAATGTTTTTTTCGATACTACATACTGACACACCAATTTTATTAATACGTTATTTGTTAGATTACGTTAAAAGATTATCAGGAGTTAAGATTAACTTCTTAACATATATCTCTGTCACTCCCTTTGAAAAAATAAGGATAACAATAGTGTCTGCAAATAATTTGGCACTGGCAACTTACGGTAACAGTAACATAATTTCAAAACAATTACGATAGTTAAAATCTTTTATACTCTATGTTAAAAATATTATTTTTTTCACAATACTTAAGCGTTTACTTTAAATTAGTTGACACAAATATTTTAAGAATGCTGCAAAATAAATTTAATCCTAAATATTCACTATGATTTAAATTTGTGATTTTTAATATACTAACACGTAATTAAAACGATGAATACTAGCAGTTCCATGTCGAAAAGTAATGAATACTTTAACTGAAGAATTTAACTAAATAATTTTATTGTGAATATTTATATGTCCATATATCTTATCAATATAACATTTATGTATGATAAAGGGATACTTACTCGTAGAGTCTTATCTTTGTTAATGAGATAATCGTTGAAGGGAACTCTTAGTTATACTGAAGTTTATTTAGAGATTGTATTTTAGTTATTTCTATCATATGGTTTCGTGTACGTTTGTCTTCAGGGTCTTTTACCTTGACCGATAAATTATAAAAGCGACCTTAAATGATAAGACACTTCTAGAAGTCTAATTACTAATGTTTATTGTTATTTATTGTTAATGTATTTTTAAGTATATAACTATAATTATTTACTTTATGATGGCACATTTATTTTTTTAAAGATAAATATTTAATTTTAATTTCTCTCCCAAGTAGGGTTGGCGACAGACAGGCGGTCGGCCGTTAAAATTAAGCCAAAACATTTAGCTTTATAAAACCCTGTACGCTGTTCCCACGTTAGTGGGCTAAGGCCAGGGAGATGAGAAGTGAAATGTAATATAATTATTGATAAGGAATATCAATGAGATTGTAATCAACCTCAATAAATATTTTCTCGGTAACGGAATAATTAAAATAACTTTAAGATCATATTCTGTTAAATTCTTAATAAGAAATTACCTCTTATAAGATGCTATTTTACCATATTCATCAAGTTATGCCATCTTTCACTAGTACTACAACTTAGATTGTAATCTCTGCGTTTAAATATAGGTGAACCTAGGTAAACTAGTGTGCAAGGGTCCGTGATATTTTTCTCGTTCTAAGGAGTGTCTTGCTCATCTAGTTAACGACTTTTTATTACAACAAAAGATATCTATAGGCTCTTGATCCGTACATTTTCTTGCATACACCTTATGCAAATTACAATAGTGATTTTGTTTTTATTTGTTTGGTTTAGTTTTAGTTTATAGTTTATAGTATTATTTTGGTAGATTAATTTTAATTTAATTAGTGACTTAATAATTAATATAGAGTTAAGTAATTCAATAATAAGTTTATGTATATATTTTTAAGTTTTTATTATTGCCTATTCAATTATAATTTTAAATAGAGTTCTAACATACTATGATATAGTTTTAATCTAAAGTAGTTGCTATAGTGATTTTTACAAAATAATATTCTTTATTTATAGTTAATGCTTATCCTGGTTAAACTGTTTCCTTATTCCATATAACATTATCATCAAGTCACTATACGTCAGCAAAGAGGGACACGTATTCCCCCCTTTTTAGGGGGGAGTAGGCAATAGTCAACCACGCTGGCCCAGTGTGGTTTGGTTGACGTCACAGATATATTTAAATCTTTTCTCAGATATGTGCAGGTTGCATTACGACGTTTTCCTTCACCGCAAGAACGTGGGTTAAATGTACATATGGAAATCGTAAATGGAAAAACACATTGGTACATGGCGGGATTCGAACCCAGGCCCTGCAGATTGCAAATCAAGTGTTTACGCCCCTGAGCCACCGACGCTGTATATAACATACATTATATGAATTAAAGATAATCTGAAAAGATATATCACTGATAGAAATTTCCAGTTATTATTTAAAATTGTTTAGCTCCAATACAGGAAAGTAATATTTATAGATGGATTTTATAAGTTATCGCAACTAGAGATTAATAAATGATAATTACATTTTATATAAAAACATTTTATCGATAAAAATTCTAGTTATTACACTTTCAAAATGTCCGCGATCACTAGAGGGCTCTTGTTATTATGTGCTGCTGTTGCAGGTAAATAAAAGAGCTTATATACTTAAGTGCACTTAATGTTGTGATCGAGATAAATTGTGTCAAAATTCGTGGTGCATTAGATGTATACTTATTGGATGTAGCAAAGCAAGAAAACTTAACTTCCGGTTTACTTATCCGCGTGTTTATTTTTAGCTTCTTTTTCCTTATGCTTTTTGTTTCTTAAATGTGCTTATGAAGTGATTTATGTGCGGATAGTTTTTTGGTGTTAAGGTTTGTTGCTGTGACTGTGACGCATACTTGAAACAAGTATTCTTTTTAATTTACTTTGATTAAGAGGCATATGCTTGAACATGTATATCAAGTTGATTCAAGTTAATATGCAAATCCCATTTTCTTTCCAACTATTATAGAATTTTCTATCTTTAAATTAACTATCAAAGTATAATAACTTAAAATTATATACATAAACTTATTATTGAATTAATTAACTCTATATTAATTATTAAGTGACTAATTAAATTAAAATTAATCTACCAAAATAATACTATAAACTATAAACTAAAACTAAACCAAACTAAATAATATAAAAAATCGATCCGAAATCGCTTCGGTCGCACGGTAGGGTTCCCAAGAGGCTGGCGGCATTTCCCCGTTGGATGGCCAGGCTCAATCTTTGCCCGAAATGCGCGCAAAAAAAGTTAATATTAAAAAAATATATATCAATTATTGGATTGAAAAATGATCTTGTTGGGAAACTACAAACATAAATTTAATTTAAATTGTTTAATAGAGGTAAACAATAAAAAGAAGTGCATTGAAATAACTAAATTGTTACAATTTTTGTCTTTCAATTTCTTTAAAAACATCAGTTTTAAGGAGTGGTATTCTGCCAACATCATAAAAATATTTCTTAATAATATTCACGTGAAAATGAAATGTCTATTGTTATCGAATGATTATTAAAATCCACAAATATTTAGTGATTAAGGCTAATATTTAAAAGAATTGGAAACTTATCTGTTAATACAAATTTAATCTAACAAGATAATGTTCGGGATTAGGACATTGGTAATCTTCGTGTTATTACCAAATTAAAATGTGTGAAATTTATTTTTTAATGAGTTAATGGCTTACACAAATACATGTATTAAATGCTATTAAAATAATAGTTATTTGTAATAGTAATTTTGAGAAGCATTGAAGTGGACTTTTGATACTGCAAATTAATTAAATTTATTTTCAGTAACTTAATTTTTGTTTTTTTAGCTTCAGCGTTCGAGCTGAGAGATGGAGATGTGGTGTTCCATTTATTTACAAGGTTTGTACACATTTCACTGATCATCACTATTTAAACTGATAATATATTTATTTATTCCAGCTGTAAAGTTAATTGCTATGTTTTATATTTTCAGGGCTAATCCCCAAGTCAGCCAGCCCTTGCTGCCCTCGGTGGCATCCATTATGACGTCATCGTTTTCAGTCACTCGTCGTACAATTGTTACCATCCACAGCGATGGAGAGGGTGTGTCGGGCAACTTTAATGCTTTTGTTGTTCAAGGTAATGACTATTATTATTCTTTATAGTACTCGTAATTTTGCTCTTAATTTCACTGACAACTCGCTTTCACCTACGATTTGGGTGGGTGATATCCACAAATCTCTAAAAAAGCATAAATAGATACTGGATAGGCTATGTTGCTTGGTAATGACAGCTTTTGCTTTATTCCGATTTAAACGCGCCTGTTAATTCTATCTATACTATTAGTTCGACTCCAAACCACCGCTATAAGCCGCTACCATCAGCGCAAAAATGGCGATAATCAAATAGACACAAAATACCATGTTTTATAGCCAGTTCGTTTAAAGACATCAGTGCCGACAGCAGACTAAAAGAGGGAGATAGACAGAAAGCCAAAAATAAAGCAGTAGAAAGAGACAGTATCTGACCACGGTTTAATTTCCCAGCTCATCTCTCAGCGGAGGATGTGAACGTGATAGCTGTTGACTGGAGCCCAGGTTCAACAATGTACACGCATGGTCTCGGTAACGCACCCCAAGCCGGACTCATCATTGCCCAGTTTATTAACATTCTTATAAACACTTTTGGATATACCGCTAGCCAAATTCGCATCGTTGGTGTTGGTCTCGGCGGCCACGTCGCCGGTATTGCAGCGAGGAATGTTAATGGGGAAATCCCACACATTGTCGGTAAGAATGGCTCCGGAACCCAGTAGTTAAAATTATCTTTTTGCAATAATTGGGCAAAGAAATTCTTTGCCCAATTATTGCATCGGATATCGGATTCTTGCATCTTAAATCAAAACATCTAAATTTTATTTCCAAAATGCTTCTTCTTCTTAAATAGGTTAAGAGCAGAATTTAACCCTAATTTAATGTTACAGCATTAGATCCGTCTTTGCATGGCTGGACTCATCACCCTGAAATCCTAAATGAAGATGACGCGACAGTTGTAGAAGTATTGCACACTACTGCCGGCCTTAAAGGTTACGATTATCCTTTGGGCGATCTCGATTTCTATTCCAATGGTGGACAAGCCCAGAGTGGTTGTGGTACTGACGTATCTTGCTCCCATATTTACTCCTATGTTTTCTACGCTGAATCGATCACTGCTGAAGTAGTGGGCGGTAGAAAGTTCGTTGGAACAGCGTGTCAAAATTCTGAAGAAGCTATGAATTTACAATGTACTGGGCCTAGGGATTCTATTTTTGGAGGTTCAGCAACAAAGACTGAGTAAGTATCAAGTGTACACCTAAATATTACATTTTTTACAATGTTTTTTTTTGTACAACTTAGGAATTGAGGCAGGAATTATGAATTTGTGTCTGGACCATTATATGTGTGGTCAATCAAAAGAAAATACTCGATGACTCCATGCGAGATAGTGTTATAAAAATACAACCACTGTTGGCCTACATTTATGCGAGGCTATTAGCATTACTTAAAATAATTGGCGAAAGATAATGGTTTAAAATTTGGAATTGTTACCAAATTACTACGAATTATCTCACTCATCTTATTGCATGTCTTTGTTTTCAGTGACTTTGGTGTCTACATGTTCCTGACCAATTTCGTGTCTCCGTTTGCAAGAGATTAAATGTAAACACAAATTGGTGCCAATACAAACATAAAAAAGTTTAACTTGTTTCTTTCCCATTTACCTTTCGTTTCTCCGATAGTTCTAAGGTCGGTGAGTAATATAAATAAAAACTAAACGTGTACTAATTCATATATTTTAATAACAAAATTAAAAACTATAATAACATTATTAAAGCAATTAATAGGATTATTTTGTTTATTCCTTCTCTCTCTTTCTTCAACCGCATGAAGAAAACAAAAGCTGTTGCGATATAAGCAATTATATCTAAAAAATGCTATTTTGTACTTAAAAGCTAATATAGAATACAGGGCAAGCTATCACAGTAAATTAGGATGTTTTAGATTCTTCGGGCCTCTCCGTTGTGGTTCAGGTTTTGCGGTAGTAGTGACTACCTTGGTAGCATTCTGACGCGGTATGTCGAGTAGACTGCTTAAGAATGCCATGCCCTGCTCTGCAGTTTGGTAAACACCTAATAGGAATGACTCTGCGTCGAAATCTGTAGAGTCGCTTGAATCTTCTGATGTAGTCTCTTCTGCTTCTGTTGTAGTCCTAAATAAAAATATATCAATATTAACTGCACACAGATCGGGAAGCGGAAATATTCATAATAAATGAAAATGCATTTTTAGATTTGCTAACTAATGTCATCATCAGATTTTATAAATCTGGCAAGTAAATAAATCATTATAACGATAACACATTGTACTAGAAGACTAAATTATCATCTTTAGTATTTGCTAAATAAATCCACTGGACTTCCCAACGACTTCCAAAGTATCCGATCCTTCAAGCACCATATTCAGGAAAACCTTTTTAACATCGTACTAGGGATTTTATACAAAGAAAATTTATTAGATCTACTTACTCTTCTGGCTCGGCTGGTGGGTCTTCCATTTCCATACCGCCGGCTGTTGACTTGAAGCATCCGATAGGAAACTCCAGCTGTGTTTCTCCAAACAACTTCGGTCCCAGTTCAAGGCAACCCCTTAGACCATCCGCGGTGGGAGCGAGGTCATTGAACTTCGCACAAACTTGTGCAAACTTTCCGAAGACTTGCAGACATATTGGTGGTGGATTTGCTCCTTTAAACAAAAGAAAAAAAGTTTAAACGGTCATCATTTCGAAAGTTTCAATTCATTAATGGTTCTTGTTTTTCTTTGTTAAGAAAAACCAATATTAGAGTCATACATTTGGATTATTTTATTAAGTTAATGGAAATTTACAAGTTAAGTGTGTTTTCACGGTGTATTGCTTTTAAAGTGGGTACGCTTTCTCTTAAAGAGCCATTACTGGCGTATAACAGGTTTAATGCGGATTAATATATGATTTCATGACAGCGTTGATAAATACTTTCATTCATATACTATTTATGTTTCTTATGCTCAATTAGATATACTTTCAAGCATCGATTCATGGAGTTAAAATTAAATAAGAACGAATTCATATAAATAATTACCTTGGATCTTTGAATTGTGTATGAGACTTTTTCCATACGAGACCTTAACTGAGAATCCGTCCTCAGGAGATAAGTATTTCATATGTACACAACCTGAAAATATTTATAGTTAACTATGAGAAACAGATATAAGATGTATATGCGACAAACAAGCAATTGATATGTAGTTAATTGATACTTTAAAGTAAGCATTGGAAAGATTTTACAGCCGCTAGATTAACCCATTAGTGCATAACGTTCGATAAATCGGACGCCGATAAAATTGTTAATTAGGAGTTATATATATTTTATAACCGTTTATTTTTTTAAACAGTAGTGTAATATATATTTGAAGTGGTAATACTGTTGGTATGACATTCCGGGAGCGATTTATCGGACGGGCTATAAAATCTAAACTTTCATATTGATTAAATATTTTATACAATTTAATGGTCAAATACACTCGAAATGAAAATATATTACAGTGATCATAATGAAAAAGGCGTTAATAAACTTTATGCACTAATGGGGTAAAAAAAAATATTAGACGCCTACTATCCTAATAATAGATATATTTCTGTATTAACTGAAGTGCTATCTAGATTTAAAATTATCAGTAAATCAACAGCAACACAATGTAGGGATCTTAAAAAATTAAACAGAAGTTTCATAAGATTTTTTTGGTATATAGTATAGAAAACTAATCGTGGTTGACAATGGCCTAATCACCCTTTACTTAGGGTAGGCTCCGAGCCCCTCGGTGGGGACGTATAGTGAGCTGATGGTGATGATGATGATAGAAAACTGTACCTGGACCACCAAGATCGACGATAGTAATGTTAAAATCAACACAGCAAATGCAAGCGGGGCCTTTGCACATGCAGTTTCTGTTCGGCTGAGAATTCCTTTGTTCTGGCACTTCTATCAGCTTTTTTCCACCATCCCAGTCAAGGTAATCTGTGAAGTAGTAAAGATTTAAATAGTAAATAACATTCAGAAAGAAAACCCTGGTATGACCTTTTAATCTTTCTAGATTCAGCGATTTTTGAGTTGGACTCACCTTTACTTGAAAAGTTAATCAGCGCGTTGATTAGGATATATTTGTGGTGTTTATTACCGTCAATTTAGATAAAATATGTATGTCAGTAGGTTAACAAGGTCTCATCAATTTTCACTGAGTTTTCACCCTATAAGTCCACCAGTTTCATAGGCTGAATATAAATGTGGTTAGCAACAGGAGCCTATTACGTGTCGTATCGCAAAAAGTGTATCTATAACTATCTCGACATTCTAACTTTGTGTAACAACGTCAGTGACATCACGCTAGATGCTATTTATCACTTTCAAATTGTTTTACTTTCACTTGTGTACGTTATTCATACGCTCGTTAGGGGCATTGTTCGTTACGGTAACTACTATATTTGGTTTGTGTTTTGTTATGTATATGAGATCTTTTGACATGTATGACGTCATGATAGGAAAGGAACCTAGTAGGGTGCAAAAGCGTAGGGACCTGGCAGTTCCACTATCGAGAAGAAACAGGACACGGTAATTTTTAAAATGTACATGAAAATTTTAGATGTATACAGAAAATGGAGAACAACTATAACAAAATAATTATTACTAAAGTTTAATAATTGAAAGTTAATTCAAAAATATTCTTAGTATAAATAAAATATTGAATACGTTAAAATCTTGAGGTTCATATTTGACTGTAGAAGAAAGTGTAGATCAAAGAATCTGCTCATCCCTTATTAAAGGGGTGATTGCTAATTGTTAATTAAAAAATACACACACTTACCTAAGAAACTCGCACAATTTGCGACCGCTAGGAGAGCCAGCAATGACAGTGTAAGTTTGACCGCCATCCTGCCGCAATGAAGTTCTAGAATGTTTTATGAATTTATAATTTTTTTTTTAAATCTCGCGCTTGTAAGATGACGTCAGGCGTTCGCGAGAGGCGTCGTGCTTGGCCCACGTCGAGTTAATACTGCTCAATGCTCCTTTACTTGGATCTCGCTCGGGCCGTTTCACTTCCCTCACAATAACAGAAGGTGAAATTTTAAATAAAGCATAACTATACTGTAATTATATGCACTGCTGCATTGAGAAAGTGTACATGGGGTTGGTATAAGTTGACATAATAATAATAAAGAATCGTCATCATACTAATATAATTTCTTAGACAAGCCATACTTTTTAAATATTTTTCATTGTTTTTTACAAGACATATTGCGTTGGTGTATCTTTAAATATTAAAGTAATTTTGTTTAGTAAATTTAATATTTTTTTATAGCATTACTGACTTAATTGTTTGGCCTGTCTGACGGTATTATGACCGCAGCCTTAAAATAAATCGGTATTCTAATAATATTGCTATTCAACAAAGAAGTTATTTACAAACGCCAACATTTTTAGGATGCATCACAACAGATTCAGGTTAGCTATGACAAATTTAAATAAACTAGTTTTCATTTTGTTTTGATTTGATGTGGAGATTAAATGTGGAAGGCTACAAGGGTAAAGAAAGACCAAAAAAAGTATGTAATGACTGTGTGAAAGAGGATATGCGTAAGAAGGAGGTAGAATCGGATATGACGGCTGATAGAGATGTATGGAGGAGTAGTACATACTGTGCCGACCCACGATAGGGATAAGGGCAGATTGATGATGACCAATGTTGTATTGATCAGTATTATATTGCATTGTATAAATGTTGCAGTTCAATTTAAATTGCATCTATTATTTTTTTTAATTCAATCAATTGTGTACTTACCGTGAAATATATGTTAACATCATTGAGATGTATAAGGCAGGTGCATTACGGTCCGCGGCCACACAATGGGGTCAATAAACTGTGCGGGCGACGGATCTGGTGCAACATACTCTAATTAAAGTTCATTGAGATACATTACAAATGAAAGAAATAAATTTAATTAAAGAAGTAAATAAAAAAAATGTTATTTAAATTGTTCTTTTGTCTTCCTAAAAATGACAGATTTGGATGAAACTTTATTCTCACCCTTTAAGTATGCTTGAAATGTTTATTAATATTTTTACTTTGCATGCTTTGAGGACCATGAAATATTAAATTAGCGATAGAGTATATATTTCTAAATCGTACGATATTTTAATTAACATAAAATAGTTTTCCTTAATCACATAAATATACACCAATAAAGTAAGACAGCAGGAATTATGGTTAAATACAAAGTTAACAGCGGAAATTTAAACTGACAAATGTTTATGAATTGCGGTAACTCTTCAACACATGCGTGATAACTGCGTGTATGCCTAATATGCAACATTAGGACTCGGAAATAAGCAGTGAATATTAATTAACAGTTTTTATATTATACCAACAAAGTTGAATGTGAGTTGAAAAAAAGAAACTTACAAATAAAAAAAAATAACTTCTAATTAACTTAGTACTTCCTTATAGCTTATATAATGCTAATATTTAAGAAAGAAAAAGAACTATTTAAAGCTTATAAATTTGTAGTTTTTTTTTATTCCACTTGACAGTGTTCGTTGTTTACTTTACAATGAAATTAAATATATCAAATACATTTTGGTTCCCTCTGAGTTAAGTCGATTATGAGTGACTTACATAATGTAATAACGTTACTATTGCATTATTTTTGTAACACTATATGGTCTGGTTAACAAAAAAAATTTAGACGTATGTATATAAAACATACATAATATTATTAACGTGTCGAACATTGACCCAGACAGCGAGAATTACGTGAGGAGTGGCGTCGCGGCGTGAATGAGTTTTGAAAAACAAACATGTCCGGAGACGACGTTCAACTTTCACCGAGTAGAAAGTGACCGAACCACCGTCGATACACGCCGCCCGCTCGACTATACCCGACCTTCATGTAGTCCTCTTATACCATAATGGTCTTTTAAATATTAAAATTTATCTTATTAATATAAATAAAAACGAACGTTTAGTTGGATGGATGTTTGTTTAAAGGTATGTCCAAAACGGGTACATGGATTTCGATGAAATTTAGCATATATATAGTCTGGAACAACACATGGGCTAAAGAATATTTATTTTAATTCCGGGCGGACGAAGTCGCGGGTCATTTAGTTTTTTTTTAATTACTACATTGTTTTTTCAGGTCATATACATGTCTATAACGAGGAGTTTAAGTTTAATAATAGTTAGATGATCCAGTGTTGATGACAACAATGTATTGTTCAGATATACTGGCATTTCTTGAGACGTATTCTGTTAAAACAGGGGCAAAAATATTAATGAGAGGGCTACAAAAATTGTTTGTAAAACATTCAGTTTTTATTAAACAGTTTAATTCAGTTATACACAAGGTAATTTATAACATATCAATTTTGAATATTAATTTCTCTTTCAAGAGTAGTTTCTTTAGTTAAACTATAATAAATTTCATGCCAATGCGGTATAGTATCACTATATCCGAGATCATCGTACTACCTACGTAGGTTCTAGAATATACTATGAAAAGAAATTTATATTTACTGATTCCGGATACACAAAATACAATTAGTAAATATTTCGCAATTAGCTGATGAAACGAACCCCGTACCCCATAATGAAAATAACTTGCCTTTTTTATTTATTTAGAGAAGCTTAAGTGTTTACTATTATTTTATAGAATTAAATATAATAAGGACTTATTTCAATTGTGTTTTAACCTTTTAGTAATCTAAAAAAAAACTTCGCAAAATTTAGGCACAACGGTAAAAAATATACCAAAAATATTTGACATTTATTATTTATTTTACTAACTTATATACATATTACCCTTAACCTAGTCCCTAGTTAATAAAAGTAGGCACCACAAGCTATTGACATTGAATTCTACATAAGCGCGCGTGTCTCTATTGTCTGTCTCTTACATTTCTTTAGTAACTGATAGAGACGAATGATCGATAGTGTTCCTTTCTCGTCGACAGTGCGGTGCCATTTCACATTTCTCTGAGTGCGAGGCATTGGTTGTATGGTATCGGTGCCGCTCTAAGGCTGTTGAATACGTTTAGGGCCACTTGTCGTGATTTCTAATCATTGTAATTTAATCGAACGTCAACTTTCGGACCGGTGTGACCACGACGTGATTACTATTGGAAGTTTTGTAACTATTTTATAAAGAAGCTTTGTATCAGAGGTGAGTACAATATTATTTATATATATGATAAAATGTTTTAAGTTGTTTAAAATAAGAACTGTTGTTATGTATGCTATAAATATTATTTTACTTGCTAAGCGAAATGCGTAGTGGAAAAGATTTCAACGCGTTCGGTTTTCAGTTGATTTTACAAGTAATGTTTTAAAAATATCTTGTGTTCAAATTAATCACAAAATATTAAAGCAAATTACTAGCCACACTATGTCCCTAAATTAAATTATTATAATCATACTTAAGTAAATATTAGAACAAATTTAATTACAATATTTAGTACGTAGTCATGAAATTTTAAAGTTGCGCAAAAATTAAATAAATATTATTATTTCATAATTTATTATATAATTACATCAAGCTTATATTCAATGAGATGTGATGACATATTTTTCGGCTTCAGTCAAGACAGATGAAGATTGTCTTAAAAGAAAGTATGGGACTCAATTCATGTAATTAAATAGAGAAAAACATACAATGTTAATTTCTTTTTCCTTCACAGGCGGGGAGAAGTTCTACAGGATGAAGCTCTCCCTGGTTTTTGAGCTTCTTCTGATATTTGTTCTTCTGGCGTTTGCTGCCTCAAAACAAATTGGTAAGATCGTCTTAATCCCTAATTGCCACACTTACAGTGACATTTAATGGTTAAGGGCTTTCTTGGTAACTATTTAAAGACTTCGAGTGTAGCTTTAAATACAAGAATATACTTATTACATATATATTTATTACACAATACATAAAATATACTTATTACTCACTAAGCATCCTCTTTCTATGGCATAGTCAGCTGTAAGAGAACTCTATTTTAGAGCTCACCAGTACTTCACCGCAATTCTATTGTAATGTTACATTTTATTGTGTACAAAACTTAAATAAATAGAAGAATTTATGAGTTATCATTAATTTTACATTTGTCTGTTTCTTGTTTACATCGAATACTTTAGCATTAAAAAATGCATATATTAATGTCGCGTGTATTGTAAAGTGAATCGAAAGTGATACCAATGTACTAGGAATTAATTAGATAGTCCTTGTGGTAAATGATTTCATTTATGCTTCGATGAAAAGAATACATTACAATATTGGTTCAGCTATTTAGGATTTAAATTGACGCAATACCTATTAATAAATATTGTGAGACATGCTTAATTTACAGAACCACCAATATCGTACTTTACGACAAAAATTGCGAGCCCTTTCATTCTCTTCGAAAACAATAGAGAAAGCAATAGTGTTATTTACACGTATCACCAAAATCAATTTATTCATAATATATTTTTTGTATTCAGGGAAAAAGAAGAATAGTAACAAGACTGGAGTTACAAACAAGAACAATGATATAAAAATAGAGGACAACAGCATTAATAAATATTGCAAATGCTCTGAAGTTTATTGCAATTGTTGCAGAGACTTCCAGGTCCCGCTTGTTAATTTAAGCGGCGCAGGTAATATTACAACTAGTAATAATTATTAAAAAACTTAATAATTCGGGCAAAAATACAAAATACATGACATCTACTAAATTACAACAAGAAATTACAAATTATCATAATATTGATTTTTTTTATACATGCCAATGTAATTCCATTGGGTGACTTTAAGAAATGGAATTAAATTTTTCTATTTATGTACTTAGCTTTACATATAATTTCGATTTCAGGATGTGCGACTTTAATGTATTTGAATGACGACAAGATGTCAGTATCTTTGAGATTTGGAAGAAAAGTAATTGCAAATCGTACATTATCCAGTAAGTAATTTTGTCAATTAAGTAATTTATTCTACTTTAAGCTTAGAAATTCGCCAAGGAATCTTTGCGTTGTTCTTAATCGATAAATATTTTAAATTACAGGTCGCAAACCAAGTCCAGTTTGTATGCCTCTTCCTGGAGGAATATCTAAATTTTGTGGACGAGTTTATAATATTGCCCGAACTGGAGAAGAATTCAGAGCCTGTTTAGGCTTGGAACTTCAATCTAAGAGTACAGTTGAAGCGGCGGTCAGGGTATCATGCTTCAAATTTGGTCCGCGTGGTGTTACCTCTGAACCGGCGGATCCATTACCATTAGTTCCTCAGGATGACAAAAATTCTGATGATGATGATGACGATGACGATGACGACGACGATGATGATGTTGATTTCGGACTTTCTGGCGATGACGAATATGAAGAAGCGGACGATGATGACGACGACGATGGTGGTTAGTAATGTTTTAAAATTAGATCTATAGATTCCAATTTTTACCAAGGTGTCTTGATAGATAGGGACTGAATTATGCAAGAAATAGTATGAGACTTATTACTTATAATTATAATCAATACTTTTTTTTTATTTTTAGGTGATCTTGATGCTGTTAATGACGTGGAAAGTGCAGACTACACAGGCTTCAGTATTCTAGGAGAAGATTTGTTAGGAGATCTCTTTGGCTCGGGTGGTAAAAAATCCAACAAAAACAAAAAGAAACAGGCCCCTGTAATAACATCTACAACAACTAGGCGACCAAGACCTACACGCCGTCCAACAAGGAGACCATCATCTCGAGTAACAACTGTAAGGCCAGCGGTAACAAGAACAACCACAGTTAAAATTCGTCCCATCTCTCGCCGAACCACGCGACGACCAACAAGGCGACCAAATCGTCCGTCTAGAAGACCGACAACTTCTGCCGAAACTACATCGACTATGAGTTCAACAATTTCGACCACAACATATTCACCTATAGTTTCTAATATTGTACCATCAAAAGAAGATGAGCACAAGCCGTTACCTGATTTAATGAACCAAGAAACTACATTTGCAACTGAAAAAATTTCCACCATTCAATTTTTGACGACACCAAAAACTGTTACCACATTTGATGATCCAAGTCTTGAAATGTCTTTGGCTCATATAACAGGTCAGCTCTCTGTAATGCCTATAACTCCAGTAATTCCTCATGAAGATAGCGAAACAAATAAGAAAACAACAAGTAATTCAGGTGTTCTTTACGAGAAAGTAGAAACAATAACCCCAAAAAACCCATCTACTGTAGCGTTCCTGCCAACAGAACCAATTTCAGATGATATGATTCAAATAGTTCAGAATCTCGATTCACAATCTGAAGAACTTGTGCCTGAAAGAGAATCGAATTTGTTTGAACAAACACGTGGTCATAAATACAAAATCACTTATTCAGGGAATAATTACGATGTTGTACGTCCAAAAAAGAAGCATAGAGGAGCAGACTTTCAATTAGCTGATTTAGACGTTTTAGATTTGACTAAAATTGGAGAAAGTGTTGGACAGCATTTGGGTATTTTCGGAAGACATAAAAGACAGAACAAAAATAAGGATATAAAACATGAGAAGGACCAAAATGATGATGACTACGATATCATTGGGGATTTATCAGCCTCTATGGGTTTCGCTGATCGTATGAATAGTAAAAACAAAGAAAGTAGAAGACAAAATAAAATGATGCAAGGGGACTGGTCAATGGCATGACCAATATAAAGAGACTTCAATAGATCTAATTAGATAGTTATTATTTATTTTCATTTAACTTAATTTTATAAGTACATACTTTGTAAATAGATTATTTAATTTAAATTATTTAAATGTTATTTATTTTTGAACATAAAATAAAAATGTTAAGATGTAAAAATGTAATGAAAACATTTCCATGTTTTTATTTTATTAAAGTGCTAATCGTACATTTAAATATTTAATTAAAAGTGTTCAAAGCAAAACCTTTTTTTACTTCGTTACGGTATCGTTTATGGCAGACATTAAATTTTTGATATAAATATTTACACGACAGAGGACTACTTGATTAGTATTATCGTACACTTATCTGTACGTTTCTATTACATTTCGAATGGCATTGATTGACTCATGACCAGTAACAGATTAATAAAATATTTAAAATTCGAATTATTTCTGCCATGGAAAAATTTTCGACACTTGATCTGAAAATAAATATAAAGGAAAATAGTAGGTTGTTTGTAAGATACAGAAAGATCGTTAAAGATAGTAAACATTTATCAATTCAATAAATGTATAACAACATTTAAATAAACTGCGTTTTAATTTTCCTTAAAAATTAAAATGAGTTTTCGGAAAACCCAATATTCAATTTCTCCTTTAAAATTGAATTCTGTTTGCAAAAGAGAAATTAACTTCTGGTTTACTCGGACATTGCGTAATAATGTAATATCGATACAGAACCTTAACTGCCAGTCCTTAAAGGAGTAAAGTATTCAAATCTTAAGGTTTGTTTTCAAATGACCACTTTCACCTGTCAAGGCATTAAATATTTAAAACTTGTTTGCCATGTTCATCGATGTGCAGCTAAAATAAGAATCAAACTTCTTACTGGTTAGCGGTTAAATAGTGGGAGGAGACTTACTTTGCTAACAATTTCAACTGGAAAGTCGAGCGTAACTGTTGTTGTTTAATTACAATGAATTGAAGATAAGTAACCATGACTTCCAACGTTAAGTTAGTGTTTATATTGTATTATATCAACGTGTGCTTTGCTGGTATTGGTAAGTGATACAAATTCAATACCTTGATATGCATTGTTTTTATTCTTAATAATATATTGATTATGTTAACTATTGCAGGCAATGTAATCACGTCTAAGGATAGAGAATATGATGTGATCGATTTTAAAGTACCTAATAGTGTTTGGAAACAAGCATTACATCCGGTACCAATATTAAAATCACCTGTCACTATAGTTTTGCCGGTACAAGTCCCTCAAGATTATGACAATGAAGAAGATGAGGTAGATGATGAAGTTCCCAGTCCAATTGAACCGGTGACAACAGTAGAAAATGATGTAATCAATGAAGATGTAATTCAAGAAGTTACTCAAACCTCAATTACTACTATAGCTGCCATTACACCAGCTCCTGTCGAAGAGAATGAAGTTTCCGATAATCCTGTGGAAGAAATTGAAGGTCAAGTAGTGAGATTCCCTTGCAACTGTGTGAAGAGACAGTGCGGGTGCTGTACTGGATCGATTTTAGAAAGAGTTCGAATGAAAGCATGTGGAAATATAACTTTTGTACCAGAAGATTTTATATTCGACGTAAGACTAAGCGTTAACAACAATACAGTCGTTCGACGTAGAGTATCAGGTATATTGATTTTAAGGATATTATTTTAGCTCTTATTAATTATTAATATTCATATATTCTAATTTAAAATGTAACCCGTATAGCTTAGTGTTAAAAGAATAAATCTTATTACAGCGAGTGATCCTCCCCCGATTTGCTTCAATCCCAGGAGAGCACCCTTCGTTCGTGTTTGTGCAGAAATTTCCGATATTCGTATCCGGAATGGAAATACATTTGCGTGTTTAGACATGAACGCGGACATTGCTGGTTTTCCTGTTTATTCGGCTTCGTTTAGATGTTTTGGGTAAGTAGAACAAATTGTGGCTAGATATTTTTACGACCTGTGGTTGTAAAAAGAATAGAAATTTAATTATTCTTAAAATTCAGACTAATTACGCACTAAACGTTAATTTTGAAAAAAAATATTTTCAGTTTTGGTTCATCAGGTGTTCAAACAGGCTTGAAACCTAAACCAGTATCTTCTGGACCGAAACCAATAAGTCTCTTTGGTAGTGGAAGTGAAGATACCGGTGGGGGGTTTTTGGAAAATGCCGCAGGAACTCTTCTAGGAGATGGTAATGGCGGAGGCCTGTTCGGTCGACCCGGTGGTGGACTTTTCGGTGGAAGACCAAACAATAACGGACCACTCGATGACATCGGTGATGCTATTGGAGAATTTTTCCAATAAGATATGTCAATGAATTCAATCCTAAAAATGTAGTCAAATTGTAAATATAAACCTATTTATTTAATTAAATTATTTCAATTTAATATATTTGTTGATTATTAATACTATCTTCCCAAATTTCTTTAAGTGAAAAAAGACTGTGTGTGTTATTTTAAAGGGAGTTTCCACTACGCGAATGTCTTACATCACATTGTAATGTTATAAAAAGGAGCGACTGATGTAAACATGACAAGATTTTCTTGTTTACTTCAGTCTCCTGCCGGCTGCCATTGACTGCGGCGCGTTATTGAAGTTAAAGTTCAATAGTAACACTTAAGTAAAGAAGAACCAAACACAATGAATAAATGGAATATGTGAAAGTGTTAATATAGCAAAGGTATAATTTTCGAACCGGTTCGATTCTGTTGATGCGAATTAGAGTGTCTGTATTCAAGCGACCGGCGCAAGCGCAACTTCGTGATAAAATAAGCTTACAATATGAAGCTAATAGAGTTTTTGTTATTGACCACTTGCTTTCTTTATGAATCCGGTGGCAACAAAATTGGTAAGTTTTTTTGTATTAGTGGCTACTATTTTTAACTTACAATTTTTATAACGAATGATGATTTCAGGCTATAAAACGAGGAATAATACGTATACAAATAATTTAGAAGGAATTGAAGTACCCGATAGTGCGTTGATTTTATTAAATCAATTTAAATTAAGAACATCGATAGACTATTCTAGACAAAATCAAGATACATCGGAACAAACTTCACCTATATCCAGACCTTGCTCTTGTGCATTGGGAGTCTGTAAATGTTGTACAGGACCAATATTGGATTTGTTCAAACAAAAAGCATGTATGAAAATAACTTATCATCCGGGAGATTTCGCCTTCGATGTGGCCATGTCAATGAATGATCGAATACTATACGAAAACTCCATGTCTGGTACGCTACTAATTTATTTTTATTTTTTGGTTAATAATTTAATAATATGATTAACATTTTTTTATTTTATTTAAGGAAAAAATCCAAGGCCCATGTGCATAAGTCCACCAAGAATGCCCAACCTTAAAGTATGTGCACGATTGTATAACGTCTTTTTCCCCGGAAGGAACTTTCATTTTTGTTTGGCAATGAACGGACGATGGCGGTCCGTGGAACTGTTTAACATTGCGTTCGACTGTTTAAGGTATGGATACAAAAATTATGTAAGTAGCAACCGGACTCAGAGTCATATCGTTGATTTATAATCTGCATTAAGGGACTCTCTTAGTTAAGACGTAACAATAAAGTTCGACAGAAAGGTTATATAATTATTACTTACTCTCAGACCATGTTATATTTTGTGTCTTGTCTGTATTATTAGGATGGGTGCTAATGGTTTGGCAATGTTAAAACCGGATGAAGATGGAGGTCTGACGATACCAAACCCACAAGGAGGTGTTGATGCCGTCATTGATGCTGGCGAGGATGACATCGAAGAATACGACGAGAATCTCGTGCGGTCACTCCTCGACACTCTTGATGATTTTTAATTGATCACTGACAATGTTAGTCATTGTTTCATTGTGATGTTGTGCCGTTAGTTACTAAGATGATTAAATTATTTATTTATGTTATTAGTTGTGTTAACCGTACTAGTAATATCTCTTGTATTATGTTTGATTGTCTCTGACTTTCTATAGTATTAAATTAATTTTTAAAGTTGATAAGTTTTTCATTGATGTATGTAAAATCTATTATCGTGGATATATGAAGATGGATAATTAATGATGCTTAGCTGATATTCGTAGTAGGTGTCATTATACGGGAGTTTCTCTAGAAAGTACCGCAAGCGAGTATCGGTTGCATGACATATCTTGCATACGAATTGTTCAAGCCGAACCTTTTAAGAGTTAAGTGTTAACGTAAGTCCAAACGTGCTGTCATTTGTATGTTGTCCCTTGTGACGGCAACAATTGAATATTTATTCACAATATTACAATAGAAATGAAAACAAAAGTGGTTCAAGTTATTTTTCATTTGTTGTTATGCGTAACGGTTATTCCAGGTGAGTTCACATGTTGGTGTTAAAATGTAGCCTACACTGGTAGTGCTTACTTGGTGTGGTTGCACTTTGACTTAATCACATAATGTTTTATCTGTAATTTGTACTACAGACACCGATTTTGATTGTACATAATTAGTACTGTTATAAGATTTTAATTATTAAGGCCTCGCTTAAAAATTATACTTTAAAAGCAAGTTTTATGTGTGTTGAACTGATTTTGATAGTATCAGATTAAATTAAAAAAAACTTTAAAAAACATTGCAGGAAGCGAATATAATGAAAATAATGTTCAAAATTTTGAGAGAAAACGAGACATTGCCATGGATGTCACAGACTTTTCAGTGTATTACGATGTCCACACTAACGAGGTAAGACGGTATAATTATGAACATTTTCTATGTAAATAGTAAGAATTACTGCATACATTTTATATAGTCTAAACATGATCCAAATTATATATTTTTTGCAGACCATACGAAAAATGATGCCCAGGCCATGGTACAGACCGGGTTGGCGACTGAGGCTTCCATTTACCGGCGGACCTTGCGAATGCAAAAGCTACAAATGCACTTGTTGCACCGGTATCCGAATAGAAGCATTTGGTTTCGACAGACGCAGTATGTAATGTTTTGATATAAAAGATTAATCGCCTTTGCTAGGGCTATTATAAAGTCGCCAGATGATATGTTCTGATCACTACAATCAATGAATACAATCGCAAAGGAATCTTCGTCACAAGACTCGGCTTATCGTCGAAGAAGGAAGTTCGAAAAAAGGGATTAAAGTTATAATTTCTTTATAGAATGTATATGGGAGATTATTATTAACTATTTTGTACTGTAATATTTTACCTATCGTTTTAGCTTGCGCAATTCTTAAGTTTGAACCTGAGGAAGCCATAATAAATTTGGAAGTCAAAATGAGTAACAAAAGTGTTTTAGTAAAAATGTTTTCAGGTAAAATATTTACAATTTGTACCTATCCTGCTTAATTTCATTATTCTATTTTATAGTCAGTTTAAACGATTATTGATAAAAAACTTTTTTGCAGCAAGTAATCCTCCACCGTTTTGCGTGCCCATCCCAGTTCCCTATTTGCCTCCCGGGCTTGTCGATATGTGTATCAGATTATTTGATGTCTCGATAGTTCAGCAGAGATTACATGTATGTATGGACATGGACACCAGGATTGATATGGCGCCAGTCTTGGTTAGTTTTAGTTATTCTTTCAAAGTGTTAACTTTTTGCGAAGAATCGCAAAAAACCCTTGTAATCCAAAATATCTATTTTCATTTTTGTTACAGATTTTACATTTCGATTGCATGGATATGGGCATAGATGGCGTTAGTCTGTCAAAACCTGGTGGAGGTGGTAGTAATCCAGCGAACGCTGCAACTAATGGAGATACAACGGAATCAATGGAACCAACACAAGTCAACGGCGATGTGTATGACCCTGTTACCGAGGATCCCAATATCGAAACCACACCGCAACCCATGTTCAAAAACAGTATTAAATATATATAAACTTTTGTTTAAAATACCGTCGTTCGTTTTATTTTATACCTTAATTTTACTATTTTACTCTAGAAATCAGTAGAGTTTAAAACAAACTGGTTTGGAGGTCATGTGAAATTATGAAATTAATAGACCTTGCTTTCCGACTAATCTTTGGTAGAAAAAACTATTTTATGTCGATGGTTTGTCGGTTGCTTGTTTCTGCTTGTCATTTGTCAATTCATCAATGTCAAATAGAATGAAAAGCGGGTGTTTTTATTGTGGCAAATAATTTTTTTATATTTGTGATTAAAGTAAATGGTAAATTATTTTTATATTTCTCTTCCTATCTTTGATTTACTTCTCCAAATTTGATATGGCAGATAATGATTATTTTTATGATGGTGATGGGTTAGTACAGATCGACATGTACACATTTTTCAGTTCTTTATTATATATTTAAATCATTATACGTTGTTAAATTCATGTAACTGTAACTAATAAATATATTTGTTAAATATTATTGATGTATTCTGCTAAAAGCTGTATAAATTGTGCTTGTTTGTTAAATATTTAAGTGTTGTTAATGCTTATTATGTGTATTTTAAAAATTTCTAGAAAATGTTTATAATCGATACTAATAACCCAATTGCTCCATATCTTGAAAGAGTATTTGTAAAATCATTTAATTTATCTAATGTATTAAAATACTGGTGGAATTACAATTGCTAATTGTCATATATTTCATGTAGGTATTTATAGTATAAAATTTGATAGTCTAGTTCTGAATATTTTGTAACCAAAAAGGTAAGTTGCAGTGTCCAGATTAACAAATTTTATTAACATTATTTTTGGACTGAAGGATTACATTTAAAATGTTAACATGTACAAGATGTAACTGAATGTTGGTTATATCTTAACACAACATTACACATTCATTTTATAAAATGTTTTAAAATCTTTTATAGGGCCATGGATTCTCTACCAGCCTCACCTGAAGTCACCTACAATTGGGTTGATATAACTTCCGATTTCTTTAAATATATTCAAGGTATTATTCATGTTTTTCAATTGTTCATTACATCTTTAACATAGCCAATTCGCCTGGCAAGTTGATCTTCATATATTATCATATAAAACCACAGTGGCATTGAATATGTTAAAGTAATGAGAATGTATGTACATTTTGTTTCTGTACTGCGTATCTTACCCATTTAGTTTCCACAGTATGTAATTAATTTTATCTTTCAGATCTCAAATTAGGAGAATTACTACATGATGGCCACCTTTTTGGTTTATTTGAAGCTATGTCAGCTATTGAAATGATGGATCCTAAGATGGATGCTGGGATGCTTTGTAATCGGGGGAATCCAAAACCACTAAACTTTCCACAAGCTGTTGCTGTATGTATCTAAGATATTTTATTACAGAAACTGTTCAGATGTCTATGGGCAGTGTTTGCTTTGCCTTTTAATTGAATTAACTGGCCATTTGCTCATTTACCACCTTCTACTACAAAATCAAAGCATCTTTGTTTAGTTTACATATTTATCTAAAACTAGCTGATGCCCGGGTCTCTGTCCGTGATGAAGTAAAAAAAAAACTTAATAAGTAGCCAATGTGTTCTCCAGGCTATGTTCCACATCAATGCAAAATTTCAGCAAGTTCCATTAAGCCATTCTGGACATACCCTCAAACACCATCCATCCATCTAAACATTCACACTTATAATATTAGTAAGATGACGTTGCTGTTTATAATTACTTATTTAACATAAATTATTGTGTTTTTTCAGTGTGGTAAATTAAAAATAGATGATCTTGAACCTAGTGAGCTGATAGGTATAATAGATGCTACAATGGCTTGCATCGTGTCTTGGCTGGAAGGTCACTCATTGGCGCAGACAGTGTTTACCAATCTGTATCTACATCAGCCACATTCTATAATAAATAAAACACTGAAAGCATACTGCATTGCGGTGTACAAGCTGTTGGACTGTATAAGAGATTGTATTAACAAGTATGTATAACCTTAAAAGTATTAACTCCAATTTATTGAATAATATGTATTTGAAGTAAATCAAAATGCTTAAATCAAAGGTAAATATTAGAACTTAGCGGAATTCTTGTTTGGATAGTAATACATATAAAATATTTTTTTCCTCTAACTGTCCTTGAAAAGGTTTTTTTTCTTTAATTTTCTAATTATATTTCAGAGCGTTAGTATTTGAAGAGGAAGATTTTCTACCGATGGGCTATGGCTATCGTCTTGGCTCCAATCCACAAATGGGAAGCACATATGATGCTAGTCTTGAAGTCAGTGAGCAGAAAAGTATCGCAATGTTGCGAGAACAAGAGGAAGAACTTAATAAAAAGGCACGGAGTTTTGATGATGATGTGAGTAAAAAAAAATCGCAAACTTACTATATAATATTATAAAGGAGAGTTTTGGATGGAAATTTGTTTGAAGGTATCTCCAGAACATAGGCTACTAATTTAAATTTTTTAATTCCATGCAGATGCAGTCGCGAACAAGCGCTAGTTTCCTATAAAGATCTTTAATACTTTTACCATTATTTTGTTAGTGAATTTTTATTTTGGGTGCTATGATAATATTTTTTTAATATGTAATTTTAGGTTAATAATTTGTGGTTGGCATTGGCTGCTAGAATTCGCTTCACAAGAATGATTTACCAAGCTTTGCTAGTAATAACAAAACGAGATTGTCAATCTGGGGCAGATTGTGTTGCCTTACTGAATGGATGCTCGGAAATGATGAAGATCATTATCAAAACATCAGGAAAAGGCACTCAGCCAGTCGAGAATTGTAAGTGAAAATCATATTTCATACTAAAACTTGTATAGAAACAAATTCAATAATTTTAAATAAAATATTGCAGTTTTAAATGTCTTAAATATGACTTACACACAAAAGTGTTAAAAGCAACGAAAATAAATCAACGAGGTAAAAGTGTAAATCTTGGCTGTATTTTAAAAAACCCTTTGTTCATTTGAATATAAAGTAAAAAAATGAAAAATTAAGGGGCATTAATTATCTTACAGCCGATTCCCCTAACCCTATGGGTTTTGAACCAATGATCAACCAGCGGCTGCTGCCCCCAACTTTCCCTCGCTACACGCGCATCAAGCCTCGAGCCGAAGCCCTGCAGTACTTCGACGAACTGGTTACGAGGCTCAGACATGCTTGGAAGATTACTTCGTGCACTAACTTTCATACTGCACTTGTATGTTTTTACTTATAATATTATAAATGTGAATGTTTGGATGGATGGATGTATGGATGGATGTTTGTTTGGTAGCTTTAGAACTGGTGCATGGATCTGCTGAAATTTGGCATAGACAAAGAACCAAGAAGAACACATAGGTTACTAATGAAGTTTTTTTTTAATTCTGCGTGGACGGTGTCGCAAGCGATAGCTAATTTGTAATAAAATGGGTAGTTTATTATTTTTCACAAGAGAATGCATTATTTTAATAAACCAAAGTCCTCTCCTGACCTTCGAGGCAATACTTCGATTTTACATTTGCCGTGTCTCTTAGTGTTTTATTATGTTTATGTTGCGTTGTATTGCAGGATTTCTTCATGGACTTCAGTCGGCAACGGTCGTGTATTCTGTCTCGGTCAGCACTGCAGCTGCTGTACCTGAGCCCCTCGCCCGCCAGCACAGCGAGCAGCGCGGTGGCGGCGCCCGGACAGCCGCGTCCGCACCATCCCTTCATCGAGATACTGCGCGAGTCAATCAGGAGCTTCGTCAACCCTCCAGCACTCACCCCCAAGTCACCAGCGACGTGCACCCCTCAGGTATCTTACTAATATTATAAATGCGAATGTTTAGATGGATGGATGGATGTTTGTTTGAAGGTATTTCCGAAACGGCTCAATGTATCTCGATGGAATTTGGTATAGATATAGAACTTAGTCTAGAAGAACACACAGGCTACTTATTAAGTTTTTTAAAACGCGCGGACGGAGTCGCGGCCGACAGCTAGTAATTATTTTCATTGGTATAATATCTTAAATTACTAATTACAATATATTTTTGACCCGTTGTAACGTTCCAGGCTCGTGAATTGGTGGAGAATTTCCTTGTGCGCTGCGTGCGTCCATTCGCGGTGCTGCTGCAGGTCTGCGGACACAACCGCGCGCGTCAGCGGGACAAGCTGGCCTTACTGCTCGACGAGTTTGCTGCACTACAGGAAGAGGTCTGTCATGTAATTTCTGTATACAAACATGCATGCACGTACGAACGTATGCAGACACGCATATGCACCAACATGGGCGTAAGCACGTGATGTGTAATTCTAAAAAACCGTGAAAAAACGAGTTCAAATCACACTTACTATACCTTTTTTTAGGGTTCCGTACATCGAAAAGAAAAAACGGAACCCTTATATCACTTTGTTGTCTGTCTGTCTGTCAAGACCCTATATTTTAATTGCTAAATCTTTTTCTGATGTGTTTCAGTATATTCTTAAATAACACATTGGTACAGTTTACAAAAACAATACAGTTTATTAAATTTAATTGAAAAATTATGGGATAACTTTTAAAACGTAGAAAATCATTATTTCATGTATTAAAGCCGAAGTAAGATGGGTTTTAGATTAAAAAAAAGCTTAGGTAATATCAGTCATCCTTATAAATTAGCAACCAAGTCTCAAGTAGCATTTAGATTTTTACTTTAGAATTAATATTTGTTGTAGGCGGAGAGTGTAGATGCACTGGTGGGGGGCGGCGTGGTGGGTGGCAGTGGGGCGGGGCGCTCGTGCTTCGGCACGTGGCTGCTGTACCACGTGCTACGTGTTATGATCGCCTACCTGCTCGCGGGTCTCGAGCTGGAGCTTTACAGTGTGCATGAGTACCACTACATATTCTGGTACGTTGCCATACAACCCTGACTGTAGGTTTCTGTGACTAAAATCCCCGTTTAAAACATATTTTTATCTCTGTTTTGTCAAAGATAATGGTAGGGATGATTATATGTTTTATATAGATTTTGGTTTCAGAAACCCAAGGTGAATAATCAAGAAACATTTGCTATCCCTAGTGTAATTTTGTGCGCAAATATTACGAATATAAACCACGAAGCTTAATACTACATTTTTAGTCCCAGTTCATAGTAGCTTGTAGGAATTGTTAAGGAACTAACCGTAGGTTTCTGAGGCCTTAATCTCTGTCAAAAAATATAGTCTTCCCTGTCATTATGTTTGACAAAACATAGATAACAATAAGTTTTAAATAGAGTCTTAAGTCTCAGAAAACCACGATAAATAAAATGAAATATTTAGTAGTTGTAATTGTTTGTGTTAGGTATTTGTATGAGTTCCTGTACGGATGGCTGGTGTCTGCGCTGGGGAGGGCGGAGGCGCTGTCGGGGGAGGCGGCGCGGCGCGACACCAAGCGCGGAGCTCGCAAGCACAAGAAGAGAGCGCGGCCGCACGCACGGGAAGGACTCATGTGCCAAGTGTTGCAGAATATGTGCGGAGGATACTACAAGGTCACCTACAAATCTAACACGTCACATGCTAAACAAGTTTTTTTTTCCTCTTCCCCTAGACGATTTAAGATACAAAGATTTTCCCACTTATTCTACGTTAAATAACATTTTTAAATGCTAATGCTAAAGAAGTTGAAAACATCATCATCAGCTCATGTTTACTCTGAGCTCGGAGCTTACCCTAAGGTGACTAGGCCACAGTCAACCACGCTGGCCCAGTGCGGGGTGACTTCACACATACATTTGAATTTCTTCCCAAATATATGCAAGTTGCATCACGATATTTTCCTTCATCATCTTTGACCTTTATCTTTAACACATTGGTAAATGTTGGGAATCGAACCTGGACAATATTAGATTACAGTCTGGTCAGGTCAAGCGCTTAACTTTGCCAACGTAGACCTCAAAACATAAACCTCAGGATGTGTTTTCCATTTTTCAGGCTTTGGTGGCGTTCAAGCTTCAAGGTAAGATCCGTCAGCCGGCGTGCGCGTTTGACAGCGAGGCGGTGCGCTACAAGCATCGGTTTGCACCTCTCGCCGTGCTCACTCCGCCCCAAGTACACTACCACGAGTTCTGCGAGATGACACAGCCTCTCAAGTTAGTATTAAGTACAGTAAGCTTACACTACACACACACATATAAATATGTATGAAAACGTGTCTTTTCATAGAAGAAACAGATATACTTTTGTATGTGTATTCAGGCAATAGGTTAGGTAATAATCCTGACTTGTTAATAAATCTTTATCTATACAATTAATAAAATAAGAATGTCTGTATGTAACATCCAAAAAAATAATATTTCATGAACAATGATGTATTTGGTTTGTAACAAAGAAACTAATTTTTGTCAGTTTGTCTGCAAGTTTGTATTTGTTCTGGGTGCATTTGAAATGCCTTGGTCAATTATGACAAAATGTCATTGTGTGGTGTAAATGTCAAAGTAAAGAAAATGTATCCCAACAAATGGCTCCCAGAGGCCTGTACTTTGGTATTTTATATATGTATGACTGTTTATCTATCAATAAAGCAATTTAATCAGGACAAAACAACTGTCATCGTAGTATTTTTTTAATTTAATGATTTTTTTGGGTCTAAATAAAAATAATTTAGACCAAAAAAAATTAATCATACTTTTGTTGCCTAAATAAACGATTTTCTTTTAATTATTAATTTGTTATAGGTACGAGAATCCTGTTATCCTGTATTTAGGCGGCTGCAAACATTTTCAACAAGCGCGTACCGTTCTAGAAACTATTACGACACCAGATCAAGAGGTCAGATTAAATGTCAATTTAGTCAAAATAAAAATAATTTGTACTTTTATTATATTTATGTGAAGACATTCGTGGAAGCAATTCTGTGTTTCGTCTGATGAGTGTGCGTCCCGGAGGCCTAATTTTAATCTTCTTTCCCTTCCCCCTCTTTATTTTATAAGGAAAGGATGGCAAGTGAAAGTCGATTTTTCGGATGAGAGGCCGCATGGGAAGGGAAAATATTCTCGTTTTGTGCAACCCCTTGTCGCATATGTAATTACGTGTCTGGATAACGATCGCTTCGCTGTTCCGGCGATTTATGGTGGCTGTTCGCTCGTTTGCCACCTTATGATATATTTTTTTTATTTTTTACAGGTAACAGATCTCCTTAAAGTGGCCAAAACAAATTTTGTAGTTTTAAAATTATTGGCCGGCGGACACAAACGCGACTCCACCGCTCCACCAGAGTTTGACTTCTCCGTGCATAGACATTTCCCGATCATAAAACTAGTCTAATTAATAATATTATTAGAATATGTGTGTCTTGTAATATTTTTTTTAATAAAATATTAGCTGTCAGGCGCGGCTCCGTCCGTGCGGAATTAAAAAAACTATTGGTCGCAGCGTAATGTTCTATAGCCTAAAGCCTTCCTCTATAACTGGACTATCCAACAGAAAAATAATTTTTCAAATCAGACTAGTAGTTCCTGATATTAGCACGTTTAAACAAACAAACAAACTCTTTCGCTTTATAATCTTCTTATATATAAAATTCTCGTGTCACAATTTTCGTTCCCATATTCCTCCGAAACGGCTTGACCGATTCTCATGAAATTTTGTGAGCATATTGAGTAGGTCTGAGAAACAGCCAAGATCTATGTTTAATCCCGCGCGGACGGAGTCGCGGGCGATAGCTAGTATTAGTATAGATTTGAATGTTCTCCATAGAAGAGTCATCAAACGAGAGTTAATAAGTAAATGTTTATATACACTTTTATTTCTATTTTATTTAGCAATTTTAATGTAGATTATGTCGTGTGTAGAAAATGGCTTATTTGTAATTTAAATGTAAGGAACATATGTAATTATCATATTTAAATTAACAAAATCCATTGTATAACCTTCGGTAAATTTTTTTTATAATAATATGACGTATAAAAGATCAATTTGTAAGCAAAGAATTAATTGAAACTTGATGTTTTGATGTTTAGTGAATTAATTAAAAATATATGTAAACATTTTACATACATTAATAAAGAAAACAAAAAAAACTAGTTGTATGTAAATACAATTGGAAACAGGTTTTTTCGTTTGATTTCATCGTTTACCTTCATTACCCGTTTCCTTTTATCAATTGTGCTCTGTGTGTCCCATCCTCTCTTGACACTGATAAAATTATGTATGCACAGAGACTCCTGTGATATTTTAAAATCATCGTACATACTATGAGAGCAACTGCTCTTTTTAAACAAAAACGTGTACAGTCAAACCAGGATAAGCGAGAAACATAAGCGAGTGTTATTGTCAAATCAAGACATACGATCTCCATGAGCTGGGAAACTCGGATATGGCTACATAAGTAAGAAAAATATGGCGGTCTCTAGGACTTTCGCTTATTTAAATTTGACTATTTTATCTTTGTCCTTTCAAAGAGAACGGGGGATGAATTGACAAAAAGTAAACAATGGAAACCTACGCTAATAATGAATGAACATTAAGGAAATTTTCGCTACGATGATTGTTCGTATGTTAATAAATAGGAACGCCAAAAACATTACTAATATTTATATATTTTAAAGTTGTAATAAATCTTTACATCCATTATCATACGGAAATACAACTTTCGAGTACATATTGTAATAATTAAAGAAAATTCATCATATTTACGTTTATATAGGTTTTATTTTGTGATTAAAAGTTTTCGACATTTTATTCTTCGTCATCATCTGCGTCGGACACGTCCGTGGGGCAATCGTGTTCGTATGTTTTAACTTTCAAGAAATCGCACGCCTGCGGACCTGGAAAGAGGTAATATGCTCTCAGATTAGTTGAGTAAATACTAATTTCATTTACATCCTGATGTATACATCGATTAGTTAACCAACTAGTTAAGTTATACTACAGAGATAATATGATCGAATGAAAGCGCATTTTTAATAAATTGTATGGATTAGAGGTTGCTACGCTTTTACTAATTATGTATTTTTTTTCTTGTGATCGCGATGGAAATTGCTAGTATCACAAAGAGATAAGCAGAGATTACCTACTTAGTTTTAGCGTGAACCAGCACACGCGTACTAGTTGTCGGTTTTTCTACATTCATCCATCCACGTTTTCCAATTACGATTTAAAAAATGTTATAAGATTTTTTTGCTTATTATACATAGATATACTACATACATACATTATTAAGTAAATACAAGCTATTCTATACATTCCTTATTTACTTATTTAACATCTACACAATGACAAACGAACATAAATTTACATAAACATTTGCAATTACATTTACTTGAATAGCAAAAAAGAATAATTTATTCCTACATCAATTATGGGGAATTAATTATTCTTTTTTTTCTACTCATAATTATTAATGTTTAACATTACTAACTGTTACTATCTGAGTGTTATAAAAACACTAAACATTTATGTGCAAAGGCTTTTAATGACGTATTTACAGTTCTATTTTTGTGTTGCATCGTTCATTTATTTATTACAAGCTGTATTGATGCCGATACTATATGTATTCCTGAGTTAAATGAAAGTGTGAGCTTATTATGAGAAAACTACACTAATTATGTGAGCCCAGAGCCACTCAGTCGATGGCTCAGGCGTTTAACCACTTGACTTGCCATCTGCAGGTCCTTGGTTCGTATCCCGTCATATACCAATGTGTTTTTCCATTGACATATGTACATTTGACGTTCTTAAGCTGAGGGAAAACATCGTGATGCAACCTGCACATATCAGCGAAGAAATTTAATAATGTGTGAAGTCATCCAACCCGTACTGGGTCAGCGTGGCTGACTATGGCCTAGTCACCCCTAACTTATTGTAGGCTCCTCAGTGGGGACGTATAGTGAGCTGATGATAAATGAAAACCACTAATTATGTAATTAGAATTATAAACGTCGGTATAATCATCAAATACGTACCTTCAGTATAAACTACACTGGTTCCAAAGTCTTGCACGGGCGTGGGTGTAATAGGGCGGTCGACACCAGAAGGCCCCGGTTCCGATTCGTCTTCGTCATCGCTTATAATTATCTCCTCCTCCTCACATTCTTCTATCTATAGAAATCTTACTAATTTTAATAAAAACATATGGATTTAATTTCTAATTATTACTCATTTTATTCTATTAATCTGCTTTTTTTTAATTAAGACTAGAATATAAAGTCAATCAGTTCTATAATATTAAAGGTCAATGTTACATAGCAACGGTGCTTATTAATAACTTATATAAATTTAAATGAATATTATATACTTAGCTACTACGGATATTTGAGGAAGGAGATATGAAAAGGATAGTACTATAGATTGAGATTTAAAAAATGATTATCTAACTCAAGAAAGGGTTGAGTAAAGGTACGTGTCCATTGTTCGGCGCAGCGTTATGTAAAATCATACTAAGCAAACTAAAATCCGTTGCGGGCCGTATGGGCGATGTACCCGGCGCGGGATAATGGACGCGTACCTTAAACTTTGATAGAAAGGCGATTAAAGAAATCATTTTGTCTATTTAAATATGGTACAGGTCAATGATAGTTTTTAGTTGATTAGAAGAATGTATACCTGTATTTCAAACGATTGTTGTTTGCTTTTGAACTCTTGTAGCGCAGAATTCATATTTTCTTTGTACGTAGAATATTTATATGAACTAGGCGAAGGAGTCTCGTCTTCAACTTTTCCTTCATTCACCTGGTACCCCAGTTCGAAGGTCAGAGCAATGTTTGGGTTGTTCGCTAGTCGCCGACGACGGAGTTGGCATGCTGAGGTTTCTTCCATGTTTGATCTATGACAATTACTAAAATCGAAGGCAAAAGAAAGTTTTAACAACGAAGTCAGACTGTGAAGTTACATACAAAATGAAAAAATAGAAAAGAGTCTGAAAAAGAATTGCTCCTTGACGAGGCGATTTTTTATTTGGAATAAAATAGGATTGCAAATATTTCGTCTTGCCTAAATTAGACGATTGGAGTTAACGTTGGTTTCTGAGTCCAAAATCTCTGAATAAACTATATTATCATCCCTGTCACAATCTTTGACAAATTTAACAATTTTTTTTGCATCAGAAACCCACGGTTAGTGTAATCCACTGTGGGAGGTTAAAAGTTAAAGTTGTGTTCTATTTTCTCGTTTCGGTCGCCAAATTAAACTTGCTTACAACGTGATAAACAACTAGTCTCCAAAGTCTTGTATTTTAATGATTTCAGTTACATGAAAAAGAATTTTAATGACGATCCACAGACACCATGTTTCATTATTCACGATACTATGAACAATATTAGTGACTTCTTACCGCAATTATACGTATAATATTGAAAATTATGTACCTTTTTGTTAATAAATATAATTTTATAATTTCTTTACACTGAACAACTTTCTTTACAATAAACTGTATTAGTAACTGAGGATGTTTAAAAAAAATATAGTCGAACGTACGTTGTTTGTTCGACAATGACGGCGACTAAGTAGATCAAATATTACACGTCAAAGTGAAACCCTAGGAAAATAATCTGTGTTTTTCAGAACTACCAAACATTTACCAATTAATAATTTTTATTTTTTGATATACAAAATATTGCTGTAGTAACTTTGCTATTTTTTAACATCAGTTATGACTTAGAGAAACAAAACATATGGAGCTGCGTATATAACAAGCGATTATGTAATTTTTTTTAGTTCGCTTACGGCGCAACAAATACAAAATACTTATATTTAATACTTAGGTAAATTAAATGAGATCTAGATTTACATGAAGACTTAATAATTGAGAAAACATCACCCAAATGTGAGTTAACCTAAAAGGTTCCACACCCCTGGTATTTACAACGGCTTCCCTACGTAGTTCAATGCTAATTTTCGTCTTAACGTCGAGGAATTAGATTACTAAGGCAAGATCAATAACAAATGAGGTTTAATGAAGGTTAATAATTATAATAAGAATGCGTTAATTGGTTTATTTTTTAGTACTTTTCTTCAAGTTTTACTCATCATATTCAAATATTAATTTGTTTTCGAATTCTAATTTTAAATTGTGCTATTTTACTGTGATTTATTAACAGATAAAATTAATTCTTAAAGACATTGTTTGTCCTTAACCGCATTTGATATATAAACAATAGAATTTTATTCAATCAATCAATAGAGTTTTTTTTTAATATCTAAGCGGTATCAGGTAGCCAAGTCGCTAAATTGCCATATATAACGACATAGACTATTTAAAAAGATACTACATTTTAAAACTACATGTTGATATTACCACACAATGAAAATAATATAAATATTTAAACAAGCATTTGAATTTAGACATTAATTGTGACCTTGGCGTTTAGGTCGTTGATAGAGTCGAGTCATTTAGCACAGACTTTTAATTACTCAAATCGGCGCTTTACTGCTATTCAATGACAATTTAACTATGATACTGTGAATGAGGTAAGTCAGTGCGAGTTTTATGAAAGTTTTATTGATTATTTCTGAAATAAAATAATTTTTAGAAATCCTATCTCTCCGTCAGTACATTCTATAAGTTTGTACATTTTGTAAACTGTCCCAGTCAGTCAGCTGACAACTATTGTAATTAATACTAGCTGTCGCCCGCGACTCCGTCCGCGCGGAATTAATAAGAAAACCTTAAATAGTATCCTATATGTTCTTCCAGACTATGTTCCACATTAATGCGATTCAGCGAGATTCATGCTACCGTTCTGGAGATAACTTCAAACAAACATCCATCCATCCAAACATTCGCATTTATAATATAAGTAAGTTTATAACTAGGTATGTAATAACACAATTTCTAGGTAAGATTTTTTACTGACTACATATAAGAACTAAACTAGGTTATGCTGACCTAATTCACCATATCAGACGAGGTAAATAGATTCAATTATAATGTTTCAATTATGATGATACCATAAAAGACATCGGAAAGAAGAATACCGGATAGTAATGAATGAGGTTAACTTAATACAACTTGATCTCCTTCTGATAATCTGTATAAAAGTAACATATGTCAACTAATATTTTTAGATACGATTCAAACTTGTATAAAATAACAAATTCAACATGAATTCATTTGTTTTCTTATGTTTTGTTTTATCCGTCGCGGGTATTGAAGCTCATGTAAGTTTTATTTTAAATAATATCATTCTTGACTAAAAAATTATAATACTACTATAATACGACTAGCTGTCGTATGCGATTCCGTTTGCGCGGAATATAAAAATAATAGTAGTCTTTGTGTTCTTCCAGACTATGTTCTACATCTATGCCAAATCTTATCGATATCAATAAGTCGGTATGGATCTTTTAAGAACGTCCATCCGTCTATATTTATGAAACAAAATGTTGTTGTTAGTTTTTCATTGTGACCTTCTATTGGGAAGCTTCTAGAAGACAGGATAAATGTTTGAACAAAACTTTATTTGGATTTAATATTTGTTACTATTTTTTTTATTACAGACAGTTCATCTTCCACATTCACAAAAAGAGAAAGCCCATTTACACATTGCGGAATGTATGAAAGAAAGTGGAGTTAAATCTGAAGTATTAGCAGAGGCGAAGAAAGGCGTATTCGAGGACGATGAGGCGCTAAAGAAATTCACGTTGTGTTTCTTCCAAAAATCTGGTATAATATCTGAGGAAGGAAAGTTGAATGTAGCAGAAGCTTTAGCTAAATTACCAAGCGACGTTGACAAGAAACATGCTGAGAAATTGCTAGAAGAATGCAAAAAGAAAACAGGAAAGAATCACGCGGATACTGCCTTTGAAATTTACAAATGTTACTATCATGGTACGAAAGAACATATTTTACTCTGAATGTTTATTTTTAAGGTAAAATTTGTTATAGCTATTTAATAATTATAATGTCAGATTAAAGTAAACCTTAAAATAATTCTTAATATTATTTTAAAGAACCTCATGCGTACTTCAGACTTTTCAAAAAGGTTTAATATATGTTTGTTATCATATCATCATTTTAGTTGAGGTCCGGTCGTGTTAAATAGGTTCTATTCGGGAAATTTTTGTGGCCCATAATTGTTGCCTTGAAGATATAATTACTTGTGTTTCTTTAACCACTACTCACCGGATGTTAAGGTGTCTAAACGATGAATACATTTCGCGTTGCGTGCATTACAATGATTAAGACATCAACCGTGTTACAAATTTACATATAAGTAATTTCTGACACGTTGTTATTAACAAGGGATGTATTTAGTTCTCATGAATTGCGTTTGTTTGTTTTATAAACATGCGATACTTATTGCACATTTGCATATTGCCAGACAGTACTTTGTTTAGTTGTATTCAGTTTTATTATATAGCTTCTATAAACCGATAGCATTGCACTGCTCTGGTAATTGATATTTGTAGGTACCGGTGTTCACTTGCCACCTGAAGAATCATTTTTTTATATTATAAATTGGCAAATGAGCATGCATCCAACTAAATTCGTTATATAGCGAAGCAACCGCAATCTATAGACATCGGCAATTGCATAGCGCTGCCTACCTTTTATCGATGAAGGACCCACAGAAAGAGAATATTTCCCTATCTAAGCGTCCACCTCCGTCAAATCTACTTCTACTTCCCATCCCTAGGTAAAAAGTAGTAAAATTAGGTCACCGGCACGCACACTCATCAAAAGATACGCGGAAGTACTTTCCCTTCAAGCCTGTCTGTCTGTATGGACCGGGCGAGACGGTCCAATGCTGCAACAGATGTTTTTGTTGTCTACCACCGTTATTTCTGTTAATACAGATGGATCTAGTTGATTAATTATAAATATATGTTCACATATGTATGAATAATGAAAGATTTTGTCTTAAAATATTAAAATATATGAAAAATAAATGCCACGCTTATCAAGTATTTGTTATTGAAGCTACATATTAGAATTATTTTATTTTCATAACATCATATGCAGTCGTGTGATATTTTGTTCCTTTCTAGCAATATTTCTTAACATAATAGTTTAAACGTCATTGTGGAACAGGTTTTCACGTTGATGTAATGATTATAAATTAGGTATAGAGATATTATTAGACGATGTAATATTAGTATTTAATAAGAGATATAAATATTGCAAAAGATACGATGGGTTCTGATGGAAAATTATTGACAGCTTTAGCCCACAACTCCGTCAGCGCGAATTTAAAAACAAACAAAAAGTAGCATATGTCTTCTTCCAGGCTGTGTTCTAAATCTATGCCAAATTTCATCAAGATCCATGCAGAAGTATTTGAGATACCTAGTAGTAACAACTATCCATTCATCTAGTTGTATGATTAGAAATACTGCACTAACACAACACCTTCAAATAGATTAAAAGGGGAAAGTCTTGAGCGAAAATAGAGAAATTGAATATGTACAAAAAGAATACGCTACCAACATACTATATAAAAAATAATAGAAATGGATCGAACTACGTAACTGAAGATCTCTAAATCTTAAAAGATCAATATGAAGATTATAAATAATAGATCAAAAAGATTATAGAATTTAATTGACGATAATACCAAAAAAATATTAGTATATAAGGAATACTTATTTCGTAGGTTGATTTAGTTTCCTGTTGCAATTGATATTTTATAATATTGGATCTACATTTTTAAATAAAATGCTGTATTTAATCTTGGCTATTTGTATCGCGGCAGTCATTCAATGCAATGGAAATAAGGTATTGATTTAAAATATTTTTATTACTAAATGATGAACAATAACATGTACTTAATTATATTTAAACATTAGCGATCGCCCGCGACTTCGTCGGCGTACAAAAAAAATAAATAAGAGCCAATAATATGCCCGCGTGTATAAGCTATCTTTCCGTTAAAGTTTCGTCAAAATCGCTCTAGTGGTTTTGGAACGCGGCCTTGCAGACGAACAAAAATGTCTTCTGTATGGACGTTGTCCGGTCGCGCCGGCACATTCGTGCAAAAATGTTGTTATTGCTGTCGTCTACCACTGTTTTTTTGACAATGTCACCCACTACTGAATGGTCATTTACATCTTCTCTATTTGCTTGCTACGCGAATAGCATGAGCTTATAATATATTTGCATTTATAAACATTAAGTATAATCATTTGATTGCATAATAAAACTTTTTGATCGTTGAATAAACTTGTCTTACTTTATTTTCTCCTAAATCAAATTCCAAATTAATTTTCTACTTATCTACGGTAAAGTTTATGAAAATATATAAAAATAACATTGTATTTTATATTAGTAAGATGATTATAAACGTTTCAGCCAATCGTCGTACTGGATCCAAAATTGGTAGAAAATATCTCCGAAAATGCAGAGAAATGCTACAAGGAAGTGGGAGCCGGATCCGAGTTACTCGCCAATCTGATACCATGGAATTTGGAAGAAAATGAAACGAACGGAAAATTTTTATTATGTTTGAGTAAAAAATTAAAATGCGACGGTGAAGATGGTCATCTAAATGTAGATGAGTTTATAGCGCTCTTCGAGAGCTCGCTAAAGGAATATGATATAAACATATTCAAAGAAATATTGGAAAGTTGTAATGAAGAAAGTGGAAAAAATGAATACTTTACCATCTTTAAGGTTCTGAATTGCTTCGACACAAAATCGCCAGTATCTATGGCTGTCCAATAATAATTTAACATTGTTTACTTGGCTTTGAATAAAGTATACATAAAACGCGATTTTGTTTATTAAAAATATTTCAATTTGCAGATACACAAAGATTTAGCTTAATGTCCAGTTTTTCTATGGGTTTGGATTGTAACAAGGAATAAATATATCATTTTTTATGGTAAAATCTTTTTCTTTGTTCACATTCACTTTTCTAATCATGTTCAAATTATGAACATGAAATTACCTTGACATTAATATGCTCACTCACTCCGCTGGCGAATCGACCAAAAGTGGGTCTTGGCCTCCGACACAAGAGATCGCCAGTCGCCTGTCTTACGCCTGCCAGTCCATCGCTTGGAGCTCCCGTAGATCCAGCTCTACGGCGTCTTGCCAACAGTACCTGGGTCGGCGACCAGTCTGACATTCAATATAATATGAACAAATTGAATTGTAAATAAATTGAACGTTGTCGACCAGGCGCTTCCTTAAGTTTAAGTAAATAAAAATTAATACTTGGTTTACATTATCCCAGTACAGTAGTACAGTAGCGCTGGCCCGGCATGGACTGTATGTCCTCACTGGCGCCAGCTAGTACACGTTATGCCAGTTGTGTGCCAGCACTTATTTTAAGTGCTACTGGCCTACTGTACTTTCAGAATATAAATTAAGTATAAGAATAAAAAATCTAGTGGGTAAATAGCGTATCAAAGTTGACTCATAAAAAGCAACTGATGACCGGTTTGACAATATCGATAAAGTTATTTGAATGTTGTGTACTCTTAAGCCCTTTATACACAAGGCTACGTAAATTTTAGATACTAGGCGATTCATGTCTCTAAGCGACCTGAGTAGTACAATGTCTTTGACCCTTCGTTCACAAGGAAACCTAAATGTACGAAAGGAATATTGTATACTTGCGGACCGAGGTAGAGTACACGCGACATTGAATAGTCGACGATAGTCGTTTATTTGGTCAGTATAGGCGTAGCAACTACATAATATTGTATAGATTTGCTCCGCCATCTTGAAAGTCGTAGCGACTTTTCTCACGACGATCTTGACAAACAGGTTGCGAGCGACTGTTTTAGAAACCAAAGAACAAAATGTCGGCGATGCGTGTGTATAAATGTCTATGACATTCTATCGCATAAGTCACTGAGAGACTGAAATATCCGGGTATCGTTGATTTGTGTAGCCTTGTGTACAAATTGCCTAATGGTTGCTGTGACATTTATAGTGGCACATTTTTTTGTCTCAGTTACTTCAAAGATAATTTGAGGTATGACAATATGACAGTCGAAATCAATAATTTTAAGTAACATTTATCAAGGTAATCCATTTACATCGAATTAAAATCCCTACGGTAATTAAAAAAAATTCCACTCTTTAACTTTAATCCAATCAACGTATAATGGTAGTTAAGAAATAAACAATAAATCACTTTAATGAAACGCTTTAATTTTAAGTGTTGATTTAGCTTTGTTGCATTGTAATTGTCGGTATTCGCATCGATTTTATTGTTCACTTGTTTCTTTTTTTTTGTCGACCGTCGAAGGTCAAATAACAGACAAGCTAGACGTGAGTTGTTGATATTTTTTGTTGGGTTCTTCTACGATTATATTATTATCCTTTAATCAATTTCGACAATTGTAGCCAATAAATTTAACAATTTTTATAAGATGGCGCCAAACAAGCAAGCAACTGGTCTTCTGGTCACTATGTGCTATGTCATATGTGCATGACATTTTTATTGGACAAATTTAATAAAAAAAAGTAAATGTTTCTTTATCTTCTCTGTAGAGTCCCTTTCTATCCTTACCTTATAAAAAATAGAAGGAATGGCAGGAGAAGTAAAATTTGGCACAACAATTACTGCTATTTTCATTTTAGTTATTTTTATGAGGTGGTATGGTGTTGCGGTTAAGCAAATCATTTCGAAGCAGCTAATGATGCTACAAACTCTACCAATGTTAATTCTTACTCAAAATAATTAACAAGACTAGGAATACAACATAACATTAAATACATTATAGTAATGATTTAAGAGTTAGCTATCTACATGTAACTGGAAACATAACTTGATAGCACGCATCTTACAGATGTAGTTCTGATTTCTATGTTACGGCTTCGGTAGTTGCATACGGTACTAATGCAGTTCAATTTACTGCTAAACATTTTTCCTAACCGACTGGTATGTTACATTTCACCTGTACCTATGTATAAATTATGCGGGTTTGTTTAAATGTCAATAAAATTTAACCTCCTGTAGACTGAACCGAATCCAGTGATTTGTTGATTGTTATTGTTATTCGAATTGTATTCTTTCGTGGAGTAAAGTAGGGGTTAAGTAGGGAGACTTATTTAATTTTTATTTAAATTAACAACTAAATGCACAGTCTTTTTAATTCGACATGGTTCTGCCGCGGTATTGGGTAAAAGATATGACACGGGAAAAAGACTTATCGTATGAAAGTTCACATATCAAATTAAATCTTCAATGCTATTTACTACAGCAATAATTTCTGTTGTTAACTTCACAAGCTTTGCTTTTAGCTAGATAAAAACAATTTTGTGGACATAAATTATTGTTATTATGTAACCTTTAAAGTCAAAAGATGAAAGTATGATTTTTCTTTTATGAATAACTTTAGAAAGAACGAAATAATTTTTAATTCCTTTAAGTTATTTTTTAAAAAGTAATCCTTGAGCCACCGATCCCTAAAAGCCCAATCAGCATAACGATAATAAATAATGGATTTGTAAGGAATCTTAAACGTTGTTGCCACGAAAACAACGAATGTAAATGTAAAGTATAAAAAGATTTTCCATTTCATTGTTTATCCAGTTATTGTAACACTTCAAGTGTTAGTGGACTCTTCCAGTAATTGATTCAATTTTAATTTCAATCAAAATGTTGTTTAACATTTTTTTTATCTTTGGCATGGTGGTTGCTGCTCATGCCAGTATTGAGGGGAATAAGGTAGAGTTTTTAATAATTTTAGTGGCAACAAAATTCGAATTTCAAATTGTATTATTTTTTTAATCATTTTTTTTATAAGCTTGCTTAACCACGACTTACAAGCATTTGTTTCTTATTTTAATTGTATCAAAGCTTGTTTGGTAGAATTAGGAAAGCACAGATCAAACTTAATTCTTATTATAATATAATAGAAAATATTATCACAAATTATAATTTAAATTTTAATATTATTAATCCGAATTGTAATTTAAGTAGTGTGTGATTTAATCATAATTTAACCTTTTGAGTATATGTATCTAAATAATATATTATCTTATAACTTTAAATGAGCAATTATATATATATATAGAATTGGAACCTCGGAATCGGCTCCAACGATTTTCATAAAATTTAGTATATAGGGGGTTTCGGGGGCGATAAATCGATCTAGCTAGGAATCATTTTTAGAAAATGTCATTTTGTTTGTGTTTTATCGATAATCAACTTAAACATAAACCTAACTATCGGTAAGATCGAAAAATATTATTCATATTTCATCTTTTTATTAGTAATTCGTACTTAAATATAATTTCCAAAAAACACAATTAAAAAAAATACCGAGCAAAGCTCGGTCATCGAGGTACTATATAATAATATTTATTTGAAATATCTTTCGATAAGATATTTATCATTTAATACATCAGGAAATAGTGCATGTTATTCCCTATGTTCCGATCTCTTATGTATCTCTATGTTGCTCTCTATCTGTGCGTCCCCTTCTCCTTCGATGAAAGGATGTATCTGTAATCGCGACTGTCTAAATGCGGTCACCAACTTTATCGGCGAATTCTGTTGGTGCTCATTTTCCACCTTATAAAAACAAAAGTTTATAAAATAGAATACGCGTTGTACTTATCATAAGTTTAGTATGCCAATGGTAATGATCCAGTAATTTCTTTCAGCCTATTCTTCCACTTGAAGGTGATCTTGTATCACTGATCACTAGAAAAGGTGAAATATGCGTGAGGGAATCAGGTGTCAGTCCAGCAATTATGCACAATCTGTTACCATGGAGGGTAGAAGAAAGTGAAATTAATGGAAAATTCTTACTGTGCCTCGCTAAAGAAATGGAATTCCACGACAAAGATGGCAAACTTAAAGTAGAGAAGTTCATTGACCTCTTCTACCAGTCCCTTAAGTCGCAAGATGTGGATTCATACAAAAAATTGTTGGAACGCTGCAACGAATTAACTGGCAAAAATGCCTATTACACTGTATACAAAATAGCAAACTGCTTCCACACAAATTCCCCAGTGAAAATGGCGCTCCACGTACTTGTATACTAAAATAAACTACACACCATTTTGCAACATTTTCTACACAGTTTTTTATAAACGACTTTATGTATTCTTTAAATAAAATACTGTTTTAATATATCTGTTTCTTTTTTCCCTGTCTATAAATACTATGTCTAGAATATTAAGAAACTGGTTCTAGTTACAAGTTTTATTCATATAAATGGATGTCATTATGATGCGGAGTCAAAAACACTACGTTCCAAGTACAGTTGGCACTCTGCATGTTTTTGTGTTCACTTCTTTACCGAAATAAATTCTTCTTCAAGCTCTATCTTTAAGTAAAATTTAACGCACATAGCATATACTTAACTTGCTTGAAGTCATCTGTAAAAAACAGAGTTGCGGTTTAGTTCCTAGCCTCAGTTTAAAAAGAGTTAAATGAAGGGAGTAGGAGAGGAGGATTCATTTAATGTTTTTTTCCAAAATAAAAAGAAAGCGAAATTGTCATTGTGACTCTTATTTTACATTTTTTAATGTAATTATCTCTTATGTTATACTCTTTCTAAATGTGTTTATATAAATGAGTAGCTTTTAGTCCCGTCTTCGTCTGATAATAGATTTCTAATAACAAAACATTTTTGAGATCGGTCCAGTAATTTTAGAGTTTATTCGCAACATACAACTTACAAAAATACAAATGTTTTGTATAGATAATATTAAATAAAGATATATGTATATAATCGAATACATTGAAATATTCAATTGACTAAAAAAATGAATAGCTAATATTTTTTGCTAATAGCTTGATAATATATTCAGATTTTGGGAGTGTCATTTTCAAATCTATAGACAGAGAAAATTGTATAAATACCACGTATTCATAATTCATAAAATCATCCGTGACTTGTGTGTACTGCTATAATCATCCAGTAAACTCTCAAATATGATTTACTACTTACTTCTGCTTTTCTGTCTTTTGGGAGTGAACGCTTCACCGGTAAGTCTTATAGTTTTTCAAAACATATATTAAAATTTCATATTCATCATCATCATCAGTTCACTATATGTCTCCACTGATTCCCGCGGAGCCTACCCTAGTTAGGGGTGACTAAAGTCAACCACGATGGCCCACTGCTGGATGACTTCACATGTATCTCGGAATTTCTTCGCAGATATGCGTAGGTTACGTCATGATGTTTTCCTTCGCCTTAAGATTGTCGGATAAATTGATTTTCGATTTACATATGTGTAAATCAAAAATCAATTTATCATAAAATGGTGATGGCGGGATTCGAACCCAGGATCTGAAGATTACAATTCAATTGCTTAACCCCTGCGCCGCCGACGCTCTAATGTCGTATTAACTTGCCTTAATTATAGTGAATACATTCCTAGTTCTTGCTCTCTATAGTTATTTAAGTTAGAATTTAGAACTCTTTGTTAAATCCAAGATGGCCGCCATTCGAAATTACCAATGACACATTTATACTATCACTTAAATGGGTATCAAATGCTAGGATTTGATTAATAAAACAATGAGGTAAATTTAAATTCAAAACTTTACCCAAGACGTAAAATGAATTTGCTTATAGAAGGAATTGCTATTAAAATATATATTTATATTACTTGTCTAGTTATCCGTGATTTTCTGTAACAGGTGTTTCGTAGACATAATGTGTTGTAGATGCGATACCTTAGCCAGAGGAAAGGACAAATATTTTTTGTTATGTTACCTTTGTCCTTGCCAATTATTACTCTTTTCAAATTTCTTGGCGGCCCAAAGTCATCGACTACAGCTGCACTACACCTAAAACTATGTTCTGCGCAACTTCGCACGAATTTAAGAGCCGCCTAGATATTTGAAAAGACTTATACGAAAATTTATTGATTTCTTCATCAGCACGTTATCTGTGTACATGAAAAATGCCATAGAGTATACTGTGCTAATTATATGTTAAATTTTTCACAGGTGCTTGTTAAAATGCCTTCACAAATGGTTGAGAAAGTGAAGGTAGTAGGAAGTCAATGTATTAAAGAAACTGGGGCTCCGGCTAACTCCCTCGAAAACTCGCTCCCTTGGAATCTCCCTGAAAACGAAACCAATGAGAAGTTTTTATATTGTCTTTGCAAAAATTTGAATTTAATAAACGACGAAGGTTACTTCAATTATGAGAGAACTATGAAAATATTCGCTACCAGTGATAAAAAAGAAGCTATTGAGAAAACTTATAATGAATGCAAAGTTTTAAAAGGTAAAGATCAATATGAAACTACTTACAAGATAGTAGATTGCTTCTTCAAAAACGCTCCTGTATCATTATCATTGTAAAATAATTAAATCCAAAAATATTAATAAACAATTTATTTATTTATTTAAAAAATAAGAAAAAATATTTACGTTGAAGAGGGAATCCAACTGTTTTTTTATTTCAGTTTATAAAATATATTATTATTGCCTTAAATAAATTATAACATTATATCTGTCTTTTATTAATCAACTAATACGTACAGGATGATTTTATATTAAACTGACGAGTTCAAATATCATATTTGTAGTGTATGCATAAACGTAGTGTTGTTTCGAGCGTACACGCCATAAGTACATGCCGGAGAGAGGGGACGTCAGTCGATGTCAGACTTTTGGACCGGCAAGACGTGTCGCGTACGTTAACGAGCCAAATATTGAAATACCATACAACATTAAAAAACAAATGAAAAACGATCACGCTTCTATAAAAAATGACTTTATTCTTTACACTTAAAAGTCATCATCATCATCTCTCTGTCTTTCTTTCACCGTATTTAGAGTCGGAATTATCAGCCAGTCAATACTTTCAAAGAAAAAGATATTCGATTCATCTAAACATTAGATCATGCGCTTTGATTGCTGTTCTGAGCTTCTAATTTTAATCAAATCGATTAAAAATGTAAATTAAAATTATTGGTAGTTATATCAAATTTCGACCTTTAATATTTCGATATTAGTAGATAGATATTAAAAAAGATGATGGAAAATAAGAATAAAAATAAACAATGCAAACTAAGATTTATTTCTACTTATCTTATATTTTTTGGACAACATTTTTTTTTCGTGTTCTTTTAAGAGTGGAAAATATTTTAAGATTCGTTTCACATCGTCAGTCTGATAGGTGCTTTGTCAAAGAAGCATTCAGATATGATGAATGCAGTATCCTGTGGACTGTTTCCTCTCATAGCGTTACACTCTGCGAAGGCTTTCTTGATTTCTTCGAAATTTTCACTGCTGCTAAAAACAGGATGTACTTTTTCTGTGTAAAATATACCATCTTGATTTGCTAAACCAATGGTTGTAGCGAAGCAAAGCAAGGACTTTTCGTAAGCTTCGGTTTTAGGATAATTCCATGGGAAAAGATGTTCCAAAAAGTCAGACTCTGCTCCAGCCTCTTTCACACATTTCTCGCCTACGAGCTTCGATTTTTCCAAAAACTTTGCTGGCATTTTAAAAGGAGTCTGTAAAATAATTAGAAAAAAGCCGACTTCAAAAAAAATCTCAAAAAAAAGAAAATCTTAAACAAAATGTACTAAAGAGTAAGAAAATAATGTCATGAATACCGTCACGAAGAAATTTCTCTTCCTTCTTGAAATATGTCTATATTTTACAATCATTGTTATTTCGTAGTCGGTGTCGGCCAAGGTAAATTAGTGACATTTCGTATCTGAGATGTCTTAGACCTATTTACGTTTAAGTTAGTACCTCGACCGAAATCAACTTCAAAATCAAATCAGGTACACGCTGTATACATATGTGTCCCAAAATTCAACGATAAGCCGATATTGAACCTTTTTATCATAAACTTATATAACATTTGTTAAACTTATATTATTTGCCACCCGTCGATACCAAAGCGGGTAGGTAGTGTATTCTAAAGAAAATGATTATGTTAACTTACTTTCGAAGCATTGGTGATGCCCAATAGACATATCGCTGAAATCAGCAAAACTGTGCAAATCTTCATTTTGAAATCGACTTTACGACAATTCTAAATCAGAATACAACCAATGAGTGATTAAATTATACACTCTTTTACGTGTTATATATACGTTTTTATTGTAAGGAAATTAAAAACTTTGAAATTAATAACATTCAAATAAGAAACCAAATGAATTGTCCTTTTAGCTGCTAAATTAATTTGCTCTGATTTTTTACAACAAAACTTACCATTGAACTAGTAAAAGCGTTATTTATTGACTTATATACAAGCTGTTCTGAAAATCAACGCATACAGCCCATATTTAAAATTGTATCGCATTTATTTAATTGTATATCTATTATTGCATAATTAAGTGGTTACAACACTTCATTATCGCTTATTTATCTTTATATATGTTATTATGAAGTTATTATTTTAATTACATAATAACAAGATCATAATCACAGATGCATTTGATAGAAAACATTATGGAATAAAATAAATAAAAACGAATAATTGTCACATTAATTATATAACTATACAACCTTCAATTTTAACCGAATCAACGGACTTTACGGCATTATTCGAACTGTCAGATAAATTTATAGTGTACTAGCTGTTGGCCGTGACTCCGTCCGCGCAGAATTAGAAAAGAACTTAATAAGTAGCCTATGTGTTCTTCCAGATTATGTTCTACATCCATGCCAAATTTCATCAAGATCCGTTCAGCCGTTATGGAGATACCTTCAAACAAACATCCATCCATCAATCTAAACATTCGCATTTTTAATATTAGTAAGATATTTTGTCTAAACAACTTAGTTTTTACTGAACAGTACGACTGATCTGATAAAGATGTATATATAAAAAGAAGATGTGTAATCGACTTTATGTATAGTTTTTTTGAATCGCACAATATACCATGTTGTGTCTCCGTTTTTAATTTTGTTTTTGTGATTGCATTACCGCAATTTGGTATTACTGTAGCACTCAAACATATAGTTTTCTCAGTTTTTTTCAAAGACAATGAGAGGGATGACAGCATGTTTTTTACATGTCTTTTGACGTTTGTGAACTAAAAAACAAAATAAATTACCTATTCCGTGACTAACAAGTAAAGCCCTTCGTATACAAGGTAACGTAAATCTCTGAAACTCAGCGATTTTAGTCGCCAAGTGTACAATGTCAGACGTACACAGCGCGAGTCGCCGACATTTACATTTGTCATTACCAAAGCCTGTCGCTCGCGTACTGTTTATCAAGATCGACTTGAGCAAAGTCATCGCTATTTTTAAAATAGTTGAGCAAACAATTCATATGTAGTCGCTATGCTAGTAATGTCTGAATAGATAACGTGCGTCGACGATTCAACATTCTGTATACACAGCTCATGCATCGCGCAAATTCAACGATTTACGTATCATTGTGTACGAAGGCCCTAACTGATTTATAGCATACAAAACTGTTTTTTTAATGTTGTCACCTTACAATTAAGTACTTTGCTTTATTATTTTTGTTTTGAACAACAACATTTGGATTGAGTTTTCCAGAAAATTCGCCTAAATCGACTTTTTTTACTCGACAGCAAGCTATACATTTCGTTAACTCCTACGCGTTATCTCATGCAAATGCGTTTAGCATAGGTAGTACGATTAAACTTTTTCGTTGCCATTTTTAACATACTTAGCCGGCTAATCTTTTCAATTTTAACTAAACAGTAGGACTGTTAAAACTAACGTGTGTAAACTGAACTCAGGATTGTAAAGAGTAATTGACTGCTGCTTTTAATGTTTATTTATATGTTAATAATAATAATAATAGTACCTAGATTTGGCTCACGAGGTTATCGCCATGTGGCGTATGAAATCGACTACCATTATTCCGATAGTCGCATCGGTGAATGGACTGATAGCGAAGAGTTTCGACCAACATCTCAAGAAGCTCTCGCTAAACAGTTTGATTAAGGGCCCGATATAAAAGGCCCTAGAAACCACACGCATCGTTAGAAGGTTCCTGTCTCTGCAGCCCTGGCCACTGGTTGTTTGAGTCATGGGACTCCGCAGCCGGTGGTGTTCTATTCTATGAAATGTAATATAATAAGGTTAATAAATGAATAAGCTCGATAATAATAGGATGTTTCGCATTTATTCTCGATATATATGGTGCTCCGTAGTAATTTTTAAATTCATCTAGAGCAATTAAGTTAGATCTACATGATCTAAAGATTTATTAATCAAGGACAATTATATTCATTTTTAAATGACCTACCTTACTTCGAACATTATTCAATCTATATGTAGTTCTCTGTTTGTTATATATTATGTTGTATATATTTTACAAATAACAAGTCGATTTTGATTATATTATGCAGATATGCTTTTGTTTTAAGGTCAATACCAACTGTGACTAATTTTTCACTACTGAAACCTTTTACAAGACTAAAGTAACAAGATATCATAATAGTATGCTGTGTCATTTGCCTTTTAAAATCCTTATAACCTATTTTGACTATTGTCTTTTAGGAGAAACCACATTAAAAATAACCAATAGTAATCTAAAATTTTTATTTCCATTACAATTTTTTTGATACTATAATTATTAAATTTATAATTCACCAAGCCATTTTAAGAAGAATTTTCTATCCATAGTATTGGTATATAGTTTTCATCATGAATATATTAAAGACTTAATATAACTGGGGCTTTTTTGTGGAAACAATCGGTAATTCTATAATTGACATCAAATACGTTATCCCCTTCTAATGAATTACACTCGACCATTGTTTTTTCGATATCTTCTTTAATATCGCTTCCAGCAAAAAGTTTCATCACTTTCTCAGGATAGTAGTGGCCATCACTTTTAGCCAATTTCGTAGTTTGTCCTAGACAATATAAATACTTTTCTGTGAGTTCATTTTGTGGCAATTTCCAAGGCAGAGATAACGTTAAGCAATCTTCTGGTGCACCCGTTTCTTTTATACAATGTGTTGCTGCTGCCATAAATTTTTCAGTCGATTGAGATGGCATTTTTAGTACTGGCTGTAAATAAAATACGAATTTAAAACAATACTGTCATAATTATTCCTGGCTGCTAATAATTTGTAGAAACTCAAGAAATAAAACGCAAGCTCTTAAAATGCCATCAAGATAAAAGAAAACACATAACATCGTTTCAATTTCATTTATTTGAATCTGCGCGTATTATGGGAATGAAATTTGATAAACGAAATGTGGTACTATAAATCTAGCAGTATGAATTTTAAACCGTGAAAGTTAGATTTTGTTTATTGAAAAACGAAGCCATGTAAGTGGAATATTTTTAGAAAAATTATGTTGCCGATCTAATGCCCACGATATACTATGACAAATTGTGTGTGTGTGTGTGTGTATACCACCGCGATATTAAGTTACAGAAGTAGTAGCAGTTGGCAAGACATGCGCAGTTTTCGAACTTGCCCGAAAATTACTTGAGGAGTGATGTAGCGCGTGGCTTGCGAAGGGAATAAATTTTTTAAGCCTAGAAATATGAATTATAAAACTTGAAAGTACTCTTACCTTAGACCCATAAGTGCCCAAAATAGGGAATAAAATAATGAGAAATACTGTATAGATCATTGCTATTAGTGTTCTGTTTCGGATAAAACTCTAGAATGAAAAATTTATACAAAATTTAAATATATATAGATGCTGGTCAATAAAAGTTTACAATTAATCAAAAGGCATTACTAGCGTATAAAATAATTACTCTTTGAAGTTTTGCAAAAATCTTTATTTCTATTCTTATTTTATCAATGTTACAAACTGAAAATCTCATGTATATTTAAGTCGACGCTATTTTAGTATCGGACAATGACAAAAGAAATTTAAGAACATTATATTGAAATCATGATTAACAAAACAAACTAATAAACTGCTAAATCATCACCTCACTGTACGTGCAGACTGTTGGGCTCGGATTGTACCCTAAGTTAGGGGGTGACTAGGCCATAGTCTACCACGCTGGCCTAGTGCGGCTTAGTTGACTTCATACATATCTTTGAATTTCTTCGCAGATATGTGCAGGTTGCATCACGATGTTTTCCTTTACCTTAAGAACGTCGGATAAATGTATATATGTAAATCGAAAAACACATTGGTACATTACGGGATTCGAACCAAAGACCAG